TTGACGTATGATCATATTTCAGCATATAAACCTTATAATGTCTACAAACAGAGAATGCAATTGGGACGAATCGTTTTTGACATTTTTAGCAATAGGTTTCATTCCTATTCTAAATAATGACAGATTACTTTGTTGGCCGATGGATAGGATAATTACCTTCTATAACTTTCTTTCTTTTCTTACATTTCCGATAAATTTGCTTTTCCATATGTTGTCTCTTTTTGTAAGAACGATTTTTCAAATAATTCATTGAAATTTGTTGTTATTAATTTTTAGTATAGAACATTATATAATAAATTTTCCAGGCATAAAACTTTAGTATATGTCTTTGAAAATTAAAAAAAGACATAGGGAATCTCATCAAAATAAGTGAATGAGGCAGGTCGAAGAAGCGGACATTGAAAAATCAATGACGTTGTCGGACACTAAACGGCGACAGCGCCGGGTGATCATATAATGCCGTTTTTATTTTATAAAAATTTGGCAAATAATGAACGTATGTTGTTTTAGGTTCCATATAAATTTTGAAAACACAGACTACATAGTACTCATTTTATAGCTCCAGTCCATGAACTTTTTGATAACCCCTCGTAAATGAACATTGAACAAAGATAACGCAAAGCGGACCATCCCCTCCCAAAGTCAAAACTGAATTTACATCGATTCCGATGAAAATTACTTCTCATCGCCTTGTACATCACTACACTGTACATGTAACATACTCACACACGAACAGACACAGTTTAAGTTGCATATGCCTCCAACTCCGTTACAAGTGGTTATATATCGAGATTTAAATCATATAATGAAAACGCATATGATTTTTACATATAAACATAGGTAAATTTCAATAAAATACAGGGATGAGAAAATATGTACCTATAAGCTCTCTAAGGATAGGCAGGGCTAAAAGGACTGGATATCATTGAAAACAGATGGAGTGTATCCCTACCTGAAAATAAATTGAATCTTAACGTACTCTGTCTCTAAGCAGTACAGAAACAGCAATCTTATCAATTTATGAAGTTTGCATCTTTTAAAGATTAATTTATTATTTTTAATGCAAGATGTAGCTTAACAAAAGCAAGTTGAATTGTTGTTATGTTGATATTTTGGATTCCCTTCGAATCAAATATATAGCATGATTTGAACATACTTCAAACTACTCCATAATGTGAATCCACATAAAATAATTTAAAAGATTAAAAGTTGGAGGTAGGTATCTGGTATTGCTTAAACTCTTTATCTGACTGATAAACCCCTAAAAAAATGGAAAATTAAAAGTACATTCACTCAGATTGATTTGACTTTTTTTTGTTTTTTAAGGTCACGCCCAGAAGAATGCCTTCATTTCATTTCCTTACAGTGGCAATTACACATCTCCTTTTCAATAATGCAAGTATAGGTGTATAACTGTATATTTTATGCTTATCATAACTTGGAAAACAATGATTTGAGAAGGAGTTTATTTTTATTAATTAAAAAAAAACAAATTTACATAAAAGTACAACATTTATTATTATCATTACTATTACATGTATTATTATTCGGGTGCAATGCAAAAGTTGGGAAAAAAGATCTTTTCACAAATCAATGTTGAATTCATATACAAAATGTGTGTTTTTAGGATTTTATTTCACTTTACTCTCGCACATATTTCTTTTTACAAATGCAGTGAAGTAAGTTCTTTAACTATGGTTTAGCGGCTGTAAGACAATAAATCTAATGGAGTCGTGAAATTAAACATCACAAAGATTACTTTTCGCAGTTTTACTTTGTATAAAGATGAATGATTTACTCTTGCTATTAAAATTGGGTTTTTCTTTCAATTTTCATCACGTCAAAAGGGGAATGCGAGAAATCGGCAGTAATATATATTTTCTAATAGGAAAAAGCTGCATATATTCTAAGATTTATTCTCCGCAAATTAAATTTCACTTTCAGTAGATTTTTTAAATAGATATCGATTATAAAAATTACAGTGCAAATATATGTTGATAATGTTACAAACCATTCATATTCATTTTTAATTGCTTCCATTGATTTAAACATATTTTTTTATATAAAATTACATTAAATGGATTGGGCAGCAGGCTTAGCCTATATAAGCCCTCTCTATGAATTTTGTATTGCTCGCTGAAAAAAAAAATGTATTATAGTCTATTAAGTTTCAAATAAAACCAAATGAATTCATCTAGTGAGTTTGATAAAAGACTGCATTTTCAAACGTCAATATAAAAAATACGAGGGTTGATCCAAAAGTAATGTCACAGTGTCCATATCTTACATATTTGGCGTCATATCATCAAATACAATATACCAAAAGATGCACAAATGCAAATTTGATTAACATTAAAATTTTCATTGAGTGATGTTTTTTTTTTTAATTTGTTTTGTAGATGTTTGAAACATAGAGCATAGGGGATGTCGCCGCGTCACAACTGAACGTCACGTTTTAAAGTGTATTTTTTCTCAGAATGTAAAAGACAAACACATTAAAAAGATTCGAAAAAAAAGCACCCGATCTCCCAATTTTTTAAAAGACACGTTATTTTCTAGTCTTTAATTTAAAATTTAATGTCGGCATTGTTTTTTTTTTTATCATAAACATTGTTGTTTTACTCTGTTGAACTGAACAAAGGGATTGTCGAAAAGAGAGAAAACACCTCTACGACTTGTAATGCATTTTTGCTTCAAAATACGGGAATCATCACTAGCGACACTTACGTTAATTAATCAGACTCAGAGAATAAAAAATGTAAATTAGAGACTTTTTTATAGATGGTTTCAGGAATTTTGGGCGGATGATGGGTCATTAATTGATCATCAGAGGACAAGAAAACCGAGAGATAGGAGATCGAACAGAAACATTCAATGGTGTCTGACGCTGTCAAAAAGACAGACGGGTAGAGTGACATGTGAATTTACATTTTTTAGTTTGTCTTATGCTACTTTTCAAAAATGTTTAAAGGAGGGCTAAATTTGAAAAGAGTGAGTATATAATGGTACCAAGAATTCTTAAAGAAAGTGATATTGGTGAAAGTGTTTGCGAATCACAAATGTTTTTAATGAAACGAAGGGGACACGCTTACAAACATGACGGCGCGTATCCGTCAAATGACGTAACGGTTATATTTAGGTGCGGCGACTACCATAAACGCACATTGTTTAAAATCCATTATATACATCATATTCCTTTGAATTTTTCAGGTCTGATTTGAAATAAATCAAGCTTTCATTAATTATGATTTTGTTGTTTTACGTCGACTATAAGCAATTTTATCAAAGTTGTGACATTACTTTTTGATCAACCCTCGTATATACTGTATCTTATTTGAAAGAAACCTGCTACATATGTATAGCTTATGCATGTAGCTGTAGCGCAAAAATGTTAATACAGTAGTTACCAATACTAAATAAATATTGTTATTTAATTAAAGGTGTTTGCCTTTTCACCTAAATGTCCAATATCAATTTCGACGTTGGAACATGTACCACACTGTCCTAAATCTGAGACGGAATGGAATGAGAGGGCCAAAGAAAAGAGATGTGACGTACTAGCATACCATCAAAACTGTACATCAGTAGATAAATTTTCTTATCACTGCATTCTTAATGAAGATGCGACGAAACTTGTTGAAGTCTGTGCCCCGACGTGGTTTATGTCAGGTTTGTGACATTAGTAACGCACACGTGAAGGGTATACTCAGAAGTGTTCCTCTGCTCTTAGGTTAAGTGAAAGTTGACTTCAGGGCAATGTTATGACGTTAAGTTATTGTTTCAGACGTTTAAACAACCAAACAGTTGGTTGAAATGTGCAGTTTTTGCCTTTTTCATGCTTAGTCTCTGTTTCGATAGACTATTAAAACTGACAAATATACATAAGTATTAATTAAGTATACATTAATACATGAGAATTAATTAACCTGTACTTGATAGAAATTGATATCATTTATATAAAAAAGAAAGAATGGATGTTTAAATTCAAACCTAGTTCTACTACGAGAAAACAGTCAAACAGCCCAAAGCGAAGGTTGTCATATCTTGATGAAAGTCAGTGGGTAGTAAGACTTCACAACATGTTTTAGAAAAACGACACAAATTTTCATCATCTAACATTGTTGCCATAGAAAGCACCACATACTTCATGCGCGTTTAAGTTCTTCTTGTCTTCTTATTGGTATATTAGATCAGCGACATTTTATGTCTTCGTACGCTGATCTAAAAGGAAGAGAGTGTTAACCGGCCCGCCCTTTGGACATTTCACGTTGCATTGGTAAGGTTAGTAAAAACTAAGTTCACTTTATTTTTCATTTAAGGTTATTGTGCACGATTCAGCACACAAGATGAGAGAATTATAAATGACCCTGGACTTGACTGCACAAGTTTTGCTCGACAGTGTCCTCCAAGATATGATTCCTCGGAAGCTTATAAATGTAAGAATTATAAATTTTATCTATACAAAAAAATTAAACATCGTTTTCTATTATGTCAGTTATGATATATCTTAAAGTCCTCAATAGATTTTAATTTAGGTTACAAGCTTTTGAGAAAAAAAAAACACAAATACAAAAGTAACAAAGCAAATATCTGATTTTTTTTTCAGATCAAACATGTTACGAAGAAATTGAGAGAAAAGAAAATAAATCCTTAAATGAGTAAGTTATATGCTTTGTAACATCTTAATTTATAAGCAATACATGCAATAATATTGAAGTAAAGGTAAATGGACGTTTATCACTACTTCAATGAAGAGGCCGCTTATCATGGGATGTCAAATATACAGTATATGTTATGCTTTTAGACATGGACATGACTCTTCAGCCTTCTCGCCGGGTGTGTGGATATCAGTAGCATTAAATTGTGGTTTCCTTATTGCGCTAATTATCGTCTCTGCTGCATTAATAAATACCAGAAACACAAATAAAGCAGCAGGAAAAAAGAGGAAAGGTAACAAACACCTACATTAAAGAATTATGAAAGTTCCATATGTGTTATCATGGTGTTTTGTACAAGAACTATAAAAAGCATGATAACAAGACTTTCAGTGTACTATTCGTTTGCAGTCTTATTTTATTAGAGAGAGTGTAATCACAGTCATTTCTTTATTCTACATAATATTCTTATATTCCTAAAAGGAGAAAATCTTTTTATTTACTTTGAAAATTAAGCCATCAAAAACATGTAATTTTTTTAACTTTTTTTTTTTTTTTGCATTGAGTCAACATCAACACATATTCATGAAAAGATCATAATGAGGAATATAATTATGTAGATGGGTAAGTAAAATAATGATATCTCATTAGAGCTTAAGCTCAATGAGCTTTTCTAATCACCAATTGTCTGCCGTCCCTTCGTCTGTCTGTGCAGCAAGATTAAGGACGCCTGTAGTATACACGCCTTCAAATATTTCGAGAACATCGATATTATGTTGATATTTTTTACTAGCATGGATTTTAATTTAATGGAAATTCTGCTATTGCATAATTATTTAAGCATTATTATAATTTTTTGAAAGATGCAGTCTCATAAACTGAATGGTGTGTGTGCAAACAAATTAAGTGACGTTTATTTGCACATATTATTGTAGGGATTTCAAAATATTATAACTTAATGCCTATAATGCTTATATTTACATTTTTTCCCTGTAATTTCCGCAATTTTGACTTTTCTATTTAGAATTCCCACCTTATCCTTCGTGTAAGTTGTGATTGATAGAACAACAATTGGGACAGCTAAATCCGGAATCGAAAATAGTGCACAACAACGGTTATTTGACGTCACAATAGCGACATTTCTCCTATTGACTTTTGCAACTGCGATATACATGTAGGCCTAACATATTGTTAAATTTCAATAACGTACACAATTTACAAACAGAAAATGTATACATCACTGATAACAGATTGATTTCATTTATAGAGTCTGTTAATTTCGCATGCTCTTTGTTGATTATCCAAAGTTTTTTAAGTTGTGAATGAAAAGCGGCTTAATTCAGGAAAATATATTTAAATCTATGTTACGCATTATTTATATTTTCTCGAAAAAGCTGAGGAAAGCAAGGTGAGTTTGTGAAACACTAGGCAACCTGCGGCAACAATGTTCGGAAAAGCTATTTTTAGCAGAAAGGTCACAGACAAGGTACCAAGATCATTGACCTTGGAGTCATTGGAAAGAACTTATTATAATTAGAGGGGTATGGATACTGAACATGAAGTCTCCATCTCAGGTGGTTCAAAAGTTATAACGAAGGTTCAAACAAGCTATTTCTAGCAAGTAGATAACAGTTAAGGTCACAAAGTCATTGACGTTGGTGTCATTTGAAAGAATCTAATTAGTGAAGTATGCAAACCAAGTATGAATCTACCTCTCACGGTCAAAACATATGGCGAAGGTTGAAGTTGAATTTTATTGTAATATATACACTATATACGATGGGATTGAACACAAGTTCTTAAAACTTATTTCGCCCTCTCCATACATGAAAAGTTTATAAAGTTTAAGCTACATGTGTTACACAGTTTCAGCAAAAAATACTTATAATTCAAAACACGGATTTGTAAACTGCATGAAAAGAATGAATGCACTTAAGCAATGAGAGTTGGATCCCGATGTTTTGCGCAAAATAAAATTCCAAAATTCATTTTGGTAATATATTAGACAGTATTAAATACTGCTTAACGACACTAACAGTTTTGTTTTTTTTTTCTATTGTCAATCATATGCACTCTAGTTTTCAACGGCATTGTTGTTATCGCGCTGCAACTTGGCCAATGGTCTCATTTTCACAGAATGTGTATTTATGTCGCCCCAAACGAAGTCGGATGAGACATATTGCGATAGTATGCTTGAAAATGCTTTCTCTAGGCTGTTGAGATGGCATGGACAATCTTCCTGAAACTTTCCCCAAATGATGATCAGTAGTTAAAGTTTTGCAGTGAGGACGTTCAGCTTTAGAGTGGCTACTGTAACCATTGAAAGGTGCGAAAAGTGACGAATTTTAGGTCATCCGTCTAAAAAAGGCGGGCGACATACTGCAATTTTTTGTTCGGGAGTGTTTTTTCGGTTCCCTTGAACAATCGTCATGAAACTTTGTTACATTAATAATAAATAATTAAAATATTTAAATCATCGATATTTGCCATGGAAATAGGGGAACAGTTCCGAGCGACATACGCTATTACTGGCAACAGCAGACTCTCTAGTTTAATTTGAACTGATACATATTCAAAGGACAAATTTGGTCAAGTTGCGGCTCATATCAAATTTTAAAAAAATGTCCCTAAACTAGGGTCGAGATAGCTACTAAATTAACCTGTCACCGCGTATCACCGATTGATATTTTAATCACCTTGCTCACGTGATATTCTACTTTTCGATACGCTAAGGCTTTCATTGAAAATTTCATTATACAGGTAAAGTATATCATTGAGGGAGTCAGCAAGATTCTAGTTCCCCAAGAGTAAGTCTATTAGGCTTGCTCGAGAGGAACTGGAATCATGCTGACCCCATCAATGTTATACTTTAACTGTTTTATTGTACCGATACAAACAAGACATTTGAAAAAGTTCTATTCAATACTGTATTCTGTAACAATGTTTAATTCCAACAGGAATAAATAAAAAATAACAACAAAACAGAATACAGACATGAATAGAATTCTATTTTATCAATAAATCAGTTCATTGTCCTTAGTAAAATCGAAAGTAACATTACACAAATCTTAACCTCGCCATTTCTGTTGTCATTTGCTACCAGTAAACTGGTTCTTTTTTATCAATTTGATTTGGGACCAGTTGACTCGCGATGCATTTCCATTCATTAATGAATATTCATGAGTTTATTCGAAACATTTCTAAGTTTTTCGTAAGTTGAAAGAAAATGCTAAGTGATCCGAATAGGTGTGTATCAGTTCATCAAAAAACGTACTTTTTTGCAGGGAATCAGTCTGTTTTGCAGGGAATCGGTTTATTCACGGTGATTTTTTAGGAAATCAGCAAAATATATCGATTTACTTTTATATAGTGAAAAATCAGTAGAAGTGTTATAATATATTATACTTTCATGTAAAAGAGTCGAATCTGATTGGTCGAGAAACATTTGTTAAAAACACTATTACCTGTTGAAAAAAGAAGCCACGCCCACCAGCGTAGCAACAGTCAACAGTGCTTGACGGCGAGTGATATTCCAAAAAAGCGGCTGCGCAGAATTATATGTATTTTAATAATAAAAAAAATCAGTATAATACGTATAATAAATATTGCATGTAGTTCAGTGTTATATAAAAAAAAGTTTCACTCTTCCAAAACCATTGTCAATCTCGGCCGCGCCTCGGTTAATAATGGTTTTCTTTGGGTGAACATTTTGAATGTTAGACTTAACTACACGTAATATTAATATAGTGTCTACGTTTCTGTTGAGACAGTTGTATTGCACTTCCAACTTTAAACTATGGAAGATTTTTGCGCAGATTTTAATAGGGTTTGAAGATAATTGTCTCATATTTAACTTTTTATTTTTCATTACGGGCGTTTTGAAAGAATTCTGGGCGAAACATCTACCCCTTCCCTAAACATTAGTGTACAGAAGGCCTCGGTGAATACTGTACTCCTCAGATGGCTAAATCATTGTATTGACTGAAAAAACAGCAATAATTGTTTTATTATATGATTCACTGATACAATGATACAGCTCATTACTTGTTTGCATTTAATTAATAAAGTCCTAGCCAAATACAGAAGAGAAGCAGACTTAAAATGTAAATAAAGCTAAACAGTCGTATCATTTTGAAATTTTTTTTATCAATTTTAGTTGCCATGAAAGAAAAATTATTATTATACCTCATTATAAATATTCTACACAACGCGTTATCTGATTTGTTCTAGGTTATCACGTGATCGGGCCGTAAAACTTCATATTTCCCGTCGTCGGCACGCTTTTCATATTCCACCTCTTCGGAACACCTAGTGAATTTTCCCGCAATATAGTTCTCGTTCGTTGAACGAAAACTCCCAAGATAAGTAGACGTCACAATAGCCTGGTTTACGTCAAAAAACTGATGATAATGTGTTGAACAAAGAGTTTTATAGTAACTTTACGTAAAAAATGAAAATGAATTTGCATGTTTATTTCAAAGGTTTTGCTTGTTTCGGTATAATAAACAATTCATTGCATGAATGTTCGGGAAACATGAAGACTTATTCAGCCAAGAAATATCATATTCCCCTTGGGAATATGATTTTTCTTGGCTGAATAAGTCTTTATATTTCCCTCACTATCATGCAATAAATGTATTATGTCAGTCTTTTTCATAGGATAGATTTTGAAAGGAAGGAGTATTATCAGGAATTATCAGGGAAAACTAACTGGCAATAAGTAAAAATTGTTGTTCAGTAAAAGTGTTGGAGGGGGTCCCTGCATCCCCTCTTACCACCCTCACCTGAAAATATATATTCGCTTATGTTTTGTTCACACGAAAAAAAAGTCATAGTCATTTAAATAGCTTTCCAAAACAATTTGTATCAATTTGGAATTTGCCGATCTATTTTTAGAGCAATGTAGAGGAAATAAATCCTTGTATTCACCTGGAACGTCACGTGCAGGTCAATACAACGTAGTATTTTTCTAACATAGTTGGATCTCAGCCGATCAGAGAGATGGAAATTATTCAATCATATAATAATATACAATTATGGACTTCAGTGTAGGTCGTTATATGATTATAAGGACTCATGGCCATTGATATTGACCGAAGACACAAAAAATGATAGCGAAAGAGCCTGCGAGGTCGCTATCATTTTCTGTGTCTGAGGTCAATACCAATTGCCATGAGTCCTCATAACCACAAATTGACCGTTTACTGAAGTCCATAATAGTTATATTATATAATCACTCAAAGTGAATGCACTGACACAGTCCTAACTAAACAGACTTGACATTCATTACTTTACAATGGTTAAATACACGCTTTTCATACTATGATGTCACGCTCTACGTAACTTTAGTGCAATCGAACAGCGTGTCGTGCGATATCATTTTCCGCCGACGCGCTTTCCCGTCGATATCACGAAAGGAGGAATATCACGTGACGTCCTTTCAGCCAATGAAAATTACGAAAATAATCTTCTTACATAATACAGTTTATATCAAAAGCATATGCTTGCACAATAATCATAGAGTAATTTAGCGATATACTGTAGCCGAAAAGGTTCCAAATTTCTACAAAATACATTCAATCTTTGTGAGTTACAAATTTTGTACACAAACAATTACAAAATATTTAACTCTTTCAGACTACTGATATACACTGAACCAAACTTCTAAGTGTTCACCTTACATTTTTGAAGTTTTAGAGAACAAATGCAAACAATAAATAATTTCTTTTATTCCTGATTAATGATGCATATTTAAGTTGGATGTTGCATAAATTTCATGTAAGTATCTCGACAGAATTTTTAGCAAAGTGTCAAGGAAACGAAGGACCCTCAAAATGAAAATTCACACAAAAAAGCTTTATGGAGTAAGACCACCACTCGCTCTAATTACTACAAGACTGTAATTACAGTTGAATACCATGAACCCCTGAATAGGAGACTGACCCATCTGCTGCCACATCTACTGTCTAGATCTCTCCAAAACATTGAAATTGCGTGGAAAGGGGGGGGGTGTGACATTTCTTATAAAATCCCAATTGTGTTTAATGGGATTCAGATCCGGGATTTGAGAGTGTAGCATATCACACAGATGCCTTTTGGTCGATATCCTAGGGTGTTTAGCACGTAAGTGACGTCTTGAAGGATAATTCAGACTGCTTGAGCTGAAAATACACCGTCACTAGCACCGATTTCTTATCATTTTTGTACGATTGAAATTGTTTGTTTTCATATTTCTAAGATTGTTTCACAACAATTTAACACTCCTTTAACATGGTGTGACGTGAAAATTTGGCCCCGGACGAAAATCAAGGTCACTTCCGGTTTGGTTAAATTTTGTCAAAAACTTTCAAATTGTGATAAATTGGTGATGAAAAATGACGCGCAGACTATAGAAAAATGTTTTTAAATGGGTTTTGATACTGGTTGTTAAATTTTAAAAGTATTATCAAGTACAATTAAGCACTAAAATAAAAGTGAGAAAAACGTGGTGCAAAGATTGTCCAGATATCAACATTCCAACGGCTCTACCTTCCATCTCAATGGTCAATTTGCCAATGTTTTATGTTTTTTAGTAAAACCCTTTTTTTTAAATTTGATAATGATTACAAAAAGATACTAATTATACAAAACACGTGCCGCAAAGTACACTTTTATTATTTTTAAGCTTCGTCACGGAACATTGGTTTTCATCGGTGATATTTGATTTTCTTTCAATAATTGTTGAGAACACTCATTTGTTGTAATAATTTGAAAATATCACACCATTCTATAGATTAGTTTTTAAATAAATACATTTATTAAAGTGAACACTTAGAAGTTTCGTTGATTGTATGAGTGTACAATGGAATAAAGATATTCATTTTCGGCAACACTCAGTGAAGGGTCACCCCACAGTAAAGTATGGGTGTCAACAATGTGAACCCTATCAAATCTCAAAAACTTTTCAAAAAATTCTTTCCTGGCCTTAGTTTAATGAGAACAAAAGAAAAAAAATGGTGCATGTCTTCTACTTTTGCACAAGAACATAATGGAATTGATATACTGTATACAGGGAAATTTTTGCCCCCGTTTTATTTTCGCCCCTTTCGCCCTCTTCTTGATTTAGCGAATTTTAAACGGGGCGAATTCAAATTACACAGTTTAATTTCTTAAACAGAACTATGACAGGGCGAATTTAAAATGGGGCAAAACTGTTTGCAAGTGCAAAAGGGCCAAAATAACACGGGGTGAAAATAACCCTGTATACAGTAATGTTACACCTATAGTCGTATAGAGATCAATATTTAATGCATAGTTATGTCGAAGTCGGATGAGCAATATATTATTACGTCTTTTTCCAAAAGTGAAATTAGGAGGAGCTACTGCTACTTTTTGTGCAATAGCTCTTTTAAAGGTAAAAAATGAGTCCGAGTTTCTAGTTTCTAGCGATAATGAAATCCATTCATGAACTACAGTTGGTACAAATGATAAGTTTGCAGTCTAAACATAGGCTTAAACATCTTCAGAGCTACAGTGTACTTTCTTTTCCTGAAATCAATGTACATAAGTAAATAACAATGACATCTATACATTTTTGGACTAGTCTTTAAAATTCTTATAAATATACTCAATAACTAATGGGCCAGAAAGGCTGACACTTAGGTGAAAGCACCCAGTGGAAGTGCAGATTTAAAAATGTTCAAATCATGACCAAGGGGGCGAGTGGATCAAAATATGGATTATTAGGGGGTCAATCTGATGGACAGCAAGGCCAATGTGAGCGCTGTACCTCTTGATAAAATAAAGAAGTTATTCATTTAACATCTCTTCATTAGCAACATCGTCAGCAAATATGGCCATAATAAATAAATTGCTAGATTCTCATCCGAATTCTTTTTAAAAAACGGGGCGGGCGGGCGGCTTTTATTCTATATTTTTTTATTTTTTCAATTTTGCAGATTTTTATTGACCTAGTCAATCGGTGTAATTTATCTACAATACCAGAATAAAAGTCATAGTAAAGGTTCCATTATCTCTTACTTCACATCATCACCAATCTTTTTCAACCAATGATCCTTGTTTAAAATATATACGCATGTATTACAGTAGATAGAATGTTCTATCGTTAAAATGATATTGTCCTACGGACCCGGTTTAACGATAGAATTCGTTCCGTGTATTCGTAATGTAGCAGAAAGAAACACGGGCGATAACTCGCATAGTGCATTTACTTGGAAGAATCTAGAGAGTTCCGAATGTAAACATATCCGGTAATTTGAATCGAGAGAAAAACGTTGAGAAAATTAATTGGATTTTCGTATTTATATGGATTATTTTTTGGGATAAAAGGCATAAGCAATCTCAAGAAGGTTTGTTTTGATTATTTTGGTAGTTATTCCCAGTGCAAATCATTTTATATTCTTCAAAATCGTTTCGGAGCGGATCCGCTCCGATTTGCTACATTACAAGTATACTCTTCAAAAAAAGAAACGCATAGTAGGAACAATGCCCTGAAAAATGTATGATAGTTTTGTCATACCTTTTATTTTTGTATGGATACGATGTATTCCAGTGAAATGCATGATTTTTTAATGCAATTGTTAACTTTATAGCTATTCTACAAGTCTCACAGACAAAAAGACCAGATTTTGCAAAATTTCCCCCAAAATTTTGACCTCAATTTTCATTTGTTGAATTCCGATGCAATTCCTTCAGGTACAAAGGGGCTATCAAAAGCGGGGGTTCTCGATATTTTGTATTTGATTTTATCTGAAAAATGAAGCTTCCTAAAAATGTTGCATCAGAATGTAGCGTAGCACAAAAAGGAAAATGGGTGACTGGAAGCTGGGGTACCGCAATCTACCATTGCAAGAGGTTTTAATGTTACACACAGACCATATCTAACCTATAAAACATAAACCATTAACATCGAACACCCAATGTTCGCAAAAAATATGGTAGACTACGTGTGACATCAGCAGCACAGCATCACTTCCGAGGATTACTTAAATTGCATGAATGTAATGCAAGGACGTCATCTAAAGCATTAGCTATCCCTGAACTGCACAAATCATCTAACAAGACCGTTTTCAGTTGACTAAGAATTATTGCAAAAGGAATTTACATGCCATTGTTCCGACCCCACAACACCCCAAATATCGACTTCAAAGATCTCAGATCAATAGAGTAGGACCACAGCATCACTGTTGAACATTTTGGTTAACCTACTAGTAAAGAATGTTTATCTGAAAGCCTCTTATAAATTTAAGAGTGCTAATGCTTTGAAATGAATGTTAGACAGATAACTGCCTCCAGGACGTTAAAAAAGTCGGTGGTGGTAGTGTAATGATATGGAAAATGGTATTATAAGAAAGTAAGATTGATTTTGTTCGAATTCAATGGACTTTGATGGAAAAAGGTATTCTAACCATGTTCTACCTACACATACCCATTCAGTTTTGCAGCATCCTAGAGCCGTATTGGAATCTCACAATGCACAGCCACATATGGCTCGTTTGACACACCTATTCTTGCAAAGAAACAACAACTGTTTCAGTCACAGTCATCTAAATCGCAAGATTTAATCCAAATTAAGCAGCATTGGACAAAATGGATTGACATGATTTGCCAAAGACAATCGCATCCCCAGACTGTGCAACAGCTGACTAAAGTTCTACATTTGGAGTGGGAGAGTATTCCTATACAGTTTTTATTACACACATTTGCTTCCCCTAGATGCCGTTTGTGGCTATCACTTGTGTCTGCGGGGGGCATACCAGATATTGATCTTTAATGGTCTTAAACTGACTAAAATTTTAAAATTGTTGAGTAATTATGACATTTAGAAAGTCTTCCTGTTGCTAACCACATTTCTGTTTTATCAATGCATCATTTTACTAAATAATCTTTATATTCATTGTGTCACTAAAATTCTACTATGCGTTTCTTTTTTTGAAGAGTATATATGGGACGTATTCTAACTGTGGTGAGGGCCTGTACCGAGACACAGTTAGATTATTCTGACTAGTATTACAGCAATTACCATCTTTTCAGCTATCATTCTGTTGACATTCGCTGGATTTAAAACAAAAGTAGAATGGTAGATGAATACCGATCCCGATCAGAATTAAGACGAAGAAAAACAGAAATAAAAAAAATCGAGGCGGGGGTTTAAAATCGGGGCGTTCGGGGATGAGAATCTAGGAATATTTTTATTATGGCCTATTCTGTAGCCATTTTGTAATACGTCGAAAGAATCAAATGTTACAGATATTCTATAAAATAATTTTTCTGAAAAATTATATGTATAAGTGTTCTAATGTAGTTCATATCTTTCAATCTTAGAATTTATACGCAGTGGGTAATAACAAAGCCAGAAACAATGCCGCTAAAAAGATTGTCTGATGACCAGATGGTTACTCCATGCGACGTGAAGGTAATTAAACAATTTATAATAAAACATTTAATTTGGAATCAAAACCTGCTACCGTTTTTGTTTGCAAAAGTTACATCAAATCCTGCTTGAATTTCTTTGTGTATCGCTGCAATACGTTTTCTGTAAAGAGTAATTTGTGTAAAGAAGCAAATTCTGATATTCTATTTTTCCTAAATCAGCTTAAGATCTATGGTCAATACAAAGACCATATCAGCAAGCTTTATTCGCCACTGTTTCTTTTGGCTGTATGAAAATTCTTGTTCTTAAGCTACTACATTGAATCGTAATTTTGTGCATGATGCCCTTTATTGGGTTATCCTTGTAAATGCCGCTGTATTTAATCAGAGGGTATCTCAAAGCATCCACGCTTTCTTTTTTTATTGAATCTCGGCATAAACATTTGTGAAAACGTATCAAAGCTGGGGTTTTCCTTTTCAGTTGGTTAGAAACATTTTACAATTAGTCAGAGGAATCACTCCTTGGAATGTAAAACTCATTTTGTTCCCAATTTTATCCTTATTCTAACAGACAATACAAAGTAAGCCTTTAAAACAAAAATTACTTTAAGGGAGCGATCAGGTTTTTTTTCTCCTTTTCTTCTTTTGGAAATCTTGATGATTTTTCTTAACATATTAAAAACAAAACTGCGAATAATACAAATTCGCATTTTTCATTCAATTTGAAGTAGAAATTTCAATTATTGCCAAGTCTTTTTTAACTGTTCGATTTCATGCACCTGGTCCGATTTAATATCTTTTCGGAAGTAAACAATAGATGATGCGTACGCAGTCGTAAAACTACGCAAGAGAGTACTTTAATTGTTTACCAGTGCGTTTTACAATTAATATTTTGAGTTTACATGTACAAAATGCTTCAATTATTTTATCTAGAACTTTTAAAAAAAAAAGTTCATATCACTTTCTTCAGTTTGATACATAATGGTTACATTTTGATAAAAACAATTACTGCACTCATTCATATAGCGTACATTTTATTCATCTGTTATCACCACGGCTTCTGTTCAAAGGGCTCTGGCAGTAAACTAAAAGACGGGGCCACGTGACTTCATTATGTTGTAATTCAATCCCATCAATGCCTAAGTATAAAATTAAAAACCTGGGTACTTTTTTGTGTGCGAGTGATCCTCTTAAACTTCTCACCCGATCTAGTGAAATCTTTTAGGGTCACTAAGCATGTTATTTAGGTTTGCATGACGAGGGCCGGTTTTTGCTTATGTACTTGCATGTGCACCCACACGCACCACATGAATTGGTGACCAATTTAATAGATATAGCTGTAGCTTTTAGATTTTTTGATGAAATGCTTTGAAACTCATAACACATGGATACGTGTAATTTAGTAGTGTTAACATGTTGATATGGTCAAAAATAGCGAGATATCACGTGCATGTAAGTCTGCTTCGCTCTGATTTAGCTAAAACTAAAGTCTCGATATCTTTTATTTATTTTGACAAAATACTTTGAAATTTAAAACAGAGATACTAGATATGCTATTTTACTGACAACATCTTTGCCATCATCATTTGTTAAATGATCCATATCATCTCCCATACTTTGCCGGGTATTGACATTTTCATTCATGGAGGTGATTTAATATTTTGGCTTTACATTGAAATTTTAAAACATTCCTTGGTTGAACCACGAAGAAATGCAACCATTAATTATCAAAGTATACCTTAATGCAAGACAGATTTGCTAATTTATAAACGCATTTTCAACTTAAAAAACACCATATGTTTATCACACGATATACGTTGTTTTGTCATTACTCTGCAAATGCATTTAAATCCATTGCATTGTTTGGGTTTTTTTTTTTTGCTTTGTTTTGTTTTGTTTTGTTTTGTTTTGTTTTTTTTTTTTTTTTTTTGTTTTGTTTCTGAAACTAGATTTGGGAACATATTGAAGCTAATTAAACATTGATATGCTAGCGTGGAATACGAATTTTCGAAATTTCCTCCGATAATCATAATAACAAAAGAAGTTGAACTGTAAATGTTTAATGTTTTTTATAAACTTTTTCATCAAAATGACAAGAGAAGTTGGGCTGTAAATATCTATTTTTTCTGATCTTTTTTTTTCCAGGGAATGCAAACTATTGCTGATTTAAAAGTTGCTGTCGCAAGAATATTACATTCTTCGAAAGAATTGATTGAAATTGTGGACAAAGAAAACGCATTACTTTACAAAGAAGATATAAGTTTTGAGGATTTCCTGAATAAAGAAGATAGTATCAATGTGATTGTACGACCTAGCACACGCGAAGAACAATATGACAGAGTTGAATATGAAGATTATGATAAACTTTATCTTAAGCCTAGAAATCGAGAGTGCAAACACAACTCAGGTAAGGAGTGATATATTTTGAAGACTTTGAAGAAATTGATACTTTTTTCTGTTTGCAAAACAATTTTCAAGGTTTCATTTTTAATTTGTTATCAGTGATTTGATAGTAAATAATATTCCAACTTATCAGACTTATCAGATATTGATTTCCTGTATTGTTTTAAAATAACAAAAATAAAATCACTTCCAAAATATTCCAAAAATTCTTTATATTCATAACTCTGTAATGTAGACACTTTAGCCTAGCTGAGCCGAAGGCCCTTCCTCTTCCAAGGGGAGATAACTATGAAATGAAGAAAATTGGGTTGGGGCATTTTAAAATATTTTTTTTCGATAACCAGTGGGCTAAAAAAGATGAATATGAACGTTTTTCACATACTGTAGATTCAAATTTATTCAAATCATGACCCCCATGGGTAGGAGGGGGCAACAATTGAGGATTAAAGTTTTACACAAGAAAATAAGGAAAATCTTTTTTCAAGGGGCCAAAAGGTTATATAAGTAATTTTGATATGTAAGCAACCTCATGAAATGTTAAATTAAAATTGTTAAAATGATCATTAAACCCTTACTTAAACAACGTAATATATAAGAAAAAAAATATTTCTAAAAATATTTTAAAATCTTCTTTTTAAGAACATCAAAGTTAAATGCAGTACTGATGTGGAGGTATCCTCGGGTAATGTAAAATTCAACCCCCTCCGCCGAAAATAAAATACAGAACACTGATTTGCGCTTTTTTCTAACTGATGTGCTCAGGGAGGCGTTGCGGTCCATGGGTCTCTTGTTTAAATATATTTTTTTTTTATCTTTAGATCCAGATGTACTATTTGAAATCATCCATCGTCTGTTGGTTGGAGAAGAAATAGATATAAAATGTCCAGCATGTGGAAACAAACTAATTACCGATGAAACATTTGACATGTGTAATATGTCAGAGGATGAAGTGCGTTTCTACACAGATAAATTAAAAAGAAAAAGAGATTTGATAAATTAACATACAGTGATGGTGATAAAACTGTATATCCGGCATATTCATATTCTATATAAATTACGGCTTTTGGCTTGTATTGTACACTACTAATCATATTAAAATATATACTCTATTTATCATTCTAATAATTTATCATAATCTTGGAGATCAATTTAATTGATGATATTGAATAATTAAAATCGAAATTTATACTTAAAAAATTCAAGTAAATAAATTTTACTACTTTACATATATTGCACCTAAATTTTTCCGTTCATCTAAATTCTATAAAAGTTTGTTTTTAAAACAATAAAAGTCAGCGGTTAACCTATCAAAATATTGACTGTTTACAACAATGACTACAACTGACATTTGAGTACAATGTTACTAAAAAACAACAAATGCTAGCATAAAAGTAATCGATTATTATTACTTCAAAACATAAGAGAATCTACACAACAAATAACTAGGAAAAAGAAGACACATTCGCCATATGAGCTTCCACAAATGAAAGTTTTAACATCAACGTTTCATCATTCATCCATTCAAGAAACTGAAAAGAATCAGTATGCAATTATTGTAAAGAATACATCTCAAATATTTATGAAACGAAAAATCTGTTGGAGACCAGAGTCACGATAGATTTTAAATTGTAATCTGAAATTCCTGCGACTTTAACATGTTTAACCCCCGATTTTATATTATAACTTTTGCTATCCCCGAGTTAGACCCGGAGGGATTTCGGATTATCTAAAGAGTTACATTTAATTCACTCATTTACCTACAGAATTTTGTTAAATATTTACAAATAACAAATGTTTATATTATCAATAGATAACAAAATAGTTTATGTTAATGGAGTGAATACGATAGATAAACATATTTCTTTAATATTATGGGGAAAAACAAGAGTAAATTTAACACATTTGGAAATTGTTATAAAAACGCTAATGCTAAGTTCCGTTTTGTTAGGTTTTTGTAAAGTATAGATTTAGTTAAGATGATAGATACACAGACAAAAAAAAATCTTGCTTGAAAGGAAGGAGTAATTTTTCTGCGTCACTTTTTTTTCTGATGTGCATGCAATCGGGATACGTGTATGTTGATTCCATTACTGTCGGTGGAGTGGAGAGGGGAATTCATAGACAGTTTTAATGTGATCCAGTGCTGGATCTCTGATTCATTGTCGTTTTAATTCATTAGAGGTCTAGGAAATATAAGTATTTAGATTTACTATATTACTCACATGCAACGTTATGTCATTGAACTTATTTCTTTTTCACAAATATGTACATTAATAAAACACCCTCGCACACTCAAACTGATGTTTCAAATGGATTTATATAAAATCATGTAAATTAATTGAGATTGATATTTGTATGATAAAGCAAAAAGGAAATCATAGAAAAAAAAAGAATGGTGTATTTTTATCACTAAGTAAGAATATGTTTGGAATATATACACCTCTGGTAGCACCCCCACCCCCCATTCGTCATGTATGAGGGTCTTTCAATAAGAAATGTACTTTACTACATATATATTTACTACATATATATTTAAACTAAATTCAGAAGTATTCAGTTGTTTTGTTTTTATTTTAAAGATTTCTATTTACATGATTTTTCCTCTTGTTATTTTCAAGGGACTGGTAAACATGTACATACACCCCAATGAAATAAATACGAATTGGAAAAAAGAAAGTACAACATACGGACCTTTTCTATCTCCTAAATTCCAAATCAAAAAGCATGAAAATAACCAAATAAAGATATTACAATATAAATGTGTGGAATAATATTCATCAGTGTTCTTGGGGCATCCCTAAAGATCAGTATGCTGTGGTTTTCTGTTCATGAGTACAAAGACCAAAGACATGTAAAGGGTAACAGCTAATGCTTTCAGAAATTTACACTTGTACTACTAGTACTACGTATTTGTTTTATTTATAGACGGCATTTTGCAATATTTATTGAACTACAACCCTTGCCTGATCCCACCCTCTAACATTCATTCCATATTTCACCAACATTCACTAGAATATGTCTCTCGTTTTATAACGTACGTTTCAATTTTACTCTTCACGTCAGGTATTCCCACCAATAGGCTGACTCAAATGGCCCGTCTCAAATCTGTATTCCGAAAAATATATTGCGAAACCCAAGTATTTATTTGAAAATTTTCTTCTTTTCTTTTTTTTTTTTGTACCGACCCATAATTTTTATCCAAAATTTGGAGAGGACGTATAGACACAATTCTAAAATTGGCGTTAGGTATTTTTTACCCAACAATTACGATAAAATTGATCATTTAAATACTATAGTAAAGATCTCGAATAAAATCCTGATATTTTGATCAATTCCAAGAACCAAAAAAAAATACGTAAAATGAAATAGACCTTTATCTTTTTCTGTTTTCAGGAACTACGACAAAAGCTAAAAGTATATATAAATACGCCAAATATACGTACATGGTTGAATTAATTCCGTGTTGACAATCTAAGTCTGCAATATCACTTCTTTTTGTACGTATGCAGTCATAACCTTCTTTTATCATTTGGGCAATCGGATATTTAAAAAAAACATATATGTCATCAGTAAATACTTGTATTTAGATAAATCATAATTATACTTAATATGTATTTGACGGTTTGGCAAAGGATTTTAAACGATTTTTTCCCATCAAATCTCAATTAGTAAACTTAAATCTGTGATTTGCGTTTTTGTCGTTGAAGTAAACTTTTAAAGAACTAATAATTTCGATTTACAAAAGGAGTGAAAGCATTTAGCAAATAACTACCATTTTCCAATGCCCTTTTCTTCGACCATTTACCTTATTACCTTATTACCTTTATTACCTTATTCATAGTGCATAAAGATTAGATCTCTAAGTAAGTGATTTTTGAAATACTTTACTATGGGCGAATTAAATAAAAATGGCAAACAAATTTAATCATTTACAAAAACAATACAACATGCCGTATTTTATTTCAATTTTGATATTATACATAAACGAGATAAAATTAGACAGGTGTACATGTAATTTTAAAATATATAAATGCATGTAAATATAACTTGATTTAAAAAAAAAACAGAAAAAATACTATATCCTTTAAATATTTTTACATGAAATAGATTATAGCTTTATATTCTTCAAACCTTGTGTTATATATGTGAAAAATGCTGTGTTGGTTCTTACTTATAATTACGTTTCTCATTTCTTGTTTGAGATTGAAGACATTATATGTGCGTGTCCCCGTAGGAAAACTAACGGCGGTGCTTAATTATAAGGCAATTCAAATGATATGCAAGGATAAGACATAAAGTATATACTCAAAGAAGGATTTTTTTCATTAAATTAATATACCTGTAAAAATAAACTATGCTTTACATGTACCCTTTTCAAAGTTTTGGCTAGAGTCGTTTTTTTTTAAATTAAAGTGTATCAAGGTCCAATGTCAAGCTTAAGATTAAATGGTCAAATTTGATGATACCAGTGAAATGTCATGTTTTAAGATAAACACGAGTAAAATATTAAAATCTTATCACCAACTCTTAAGATATATGGGCAATATTTTTCAAAAAAAGGTCAGGGTCAAAAAGTCACATAATTGGTATAAAAGGAAAGGTATTTTCACAGAAAAAATAAAGACCATTATAGCAATTGTTTAAAAGATCTTGCAATTCTAAGGTTAAAGTAAAAATATCATATATATTTATATTCATGGAAAGATCGTGGCAAAATAAAAACATAGTTGTGTAAAGTCTAAAAACTCTAGAACTAAAAGTTTCATCGAGGCAAAATTTCGGTTGTCTTTGTTCAAAAGGAGTGCCCAAATCCAAGGTCAAGGGCAATAGGTCAAATATCTAGATACCCATAGAAAGTTCACAAGGAATATTCACGTTAAATATAAAACAACAGTTTCACTCTATCAAAAATTCCGGGGAATATTAAAATTTTCGAGAATTAAAAAAGAGACAAACTGGCGTACGGACACGGAAAAATAGATACACAGAATATCCGCATGTTCTTTAAAGAGCGATATATGGTAAGTGTCTCAATTGGCCCCTTAAAATGGATATCTTAATTTTCTTTACATATAGCTTTAATTTGTACAGCTATACGAGGGTTGATCCAAAAGTTCGTGGATTTTCTTAATATTTTTTCTTTTTTAAGTGTAATTGGTTGAAAATTACAAATGAGAATATAGACACTTGTTGAATATTTTAAATAAAAAAACATTTTAAATATTAATGATAGTAACTCAATGGCAGTTGCCATAGAAACGGTTGTTTGGAGATGCGGGGGAGACATTAACGCGTTTATTATCATTTTAATTCTTAAGTACGGCTCCGTGTAAAAATCATGCAGACAGTACAGAAAAGGTGATTCATCGACCATCTTCAAATTCAATAAAATTGGGTTTAATATATTCATTTGGGTCTAAAATGAATATAAACAGTTGATTTTGTTATAATTCTTCTTTTTTCATATAGCCAGGGATAAAGTACTTGAGGTGTAATTTTGTATAGTTAGTGTGCAAATAATGCCTATTTCAGAAAAGAATATCTTTAAAACCCTAGAAGATGTACAAAAACTTAATACATAATTCAAGTGAACATGGAAGGCTTAATAAAAATTTACTTTAATATTTTTGTGCAAACGAAGTATTGAAAAGATACAAGGTGTTTAAAATCGAGAATTTGTCAAGATTCTTGAAATGAGTTATCTCCCTTTGCAATTTTACATAGGTGGCGCTAGTAAAAAAAAAAATGGCAGCCTTCATGGTTAGCTGTACGCTGCAAAGGTATTTTGATGCATCCTGTGATGTTTATTGCAAAAATATGTGTGAAGTGACATAAATTGGTTGAAAGGATTCAACAATAACAGATTAGGCATAGTTTTCGGGCAAAAGTGTAGCCATGTGTCATGTTGATTAGTATATTGACCTTGTTGACGTTCTATCGAAATGGTACATGCCTACTGACACCGTTGTGATCTATCTCAGAAGTTTAAATTCTACGGTAATCCACCAGAGTCCAAGAGTAAACTCCCAGAGAGGGGTGGCAGTCCGATTTTGTCAGCTTACTCGACTTGGAGAGGGAAGATAATTTACATTTGGACAGTTACATTTGACCAGGTAAGATCAGGTCCAGAACACTGCAGAACAATTTGTTGATTTAGATAATTAATTTTGTAGCTTGAAATAGCTATGTAGCTTTAATATGTTGACGGTGCGACCGTTAGGGTGAAAGCATATACTTATCCATTTTCATTTAGATTAGACATGTGTAACCCGGGGTCTTAGGGCGGTTCGAATTCAGTATGGATGGATGACTAACTCCAGTAACGTTTACACCATTTATTTGGATACATTGATGAAATGACAGATGATAGAATGATTCAGATTGACCCTGTAACATAATAAAAGCTTAATAAACAACATTGTAAGAAAGATAACTCTTACGCTCATGTTTTAGAATAAAATGAAAATGCTAGTTATTTCCCTTTATACACAAGACTCAAAAATATTTGTGTCTATCAAAATATCTATGATTGCTCATTATTATAATAAACAAAGTACTACAAATATACTGATAATACATTCAATCAAGTTTCACTGTATACCATCATGTAAAACCTTATTTCACATGAATTCATAAAGAAAATATTTACATGTATATTTCACCAGTATTGTGAGCCTAGATGTATCATGACATATATATTTCAAACATAATACTCTAGAAATAATGCTTACCTCACATGAGGTGTAAAGGTCGTCTTACAATAAGTAATCTACTGTCTACATCCTTTGATCATGAGAATTCTAAAGGTAAAAATAAATACACTAACTTCAGCTATTCAGTTCACTGTGCTATATCTATAGTTATATTTAAATTCTGTATTTCTTTACAAAATAAATGTTACACTTATCCTCATGTTTTCAATGCAATCAGCCATTTTAAGAGCATAGGTATCTAAATATTTCTAATATCATAAAACAGATATTTATGTATATAATATAAAGACTATATAGGTAAATACAAATTAACTGACCTGATAATGAGAAAAGATTCCATATCATATCACTGATATGACGTCGTTTGTATGTTGCTTTAGCAAACCAAAGCCTGAACAATGCTGATTTCAATCAGTTTATGACTATCTTTCTGCAATAAACAAATAAATTCATTAAATCAAGACAAGTTTATTATTCTTTTAACTTTTGTTGTTATTCTCGCGAGAATGTTGCTTTAGAGTTTGTGTATGAAGTGATGCATTGTGGGTCTAAATTACTGCGGTAAAATATTCTTTGGAATGAATGTGCAGTAGTCTGAATTTTCTCTTTGCCCAGGCATTGTCATCACAGCTACTGTAGATCACTAAATTTTCGTGACACCTTATTTTCGCGAGATAGTCATTGACTCTTGATTAACGAGACAAAATTTTCACAAATTGTGGTTTTTGTTCTATATAATCTTAAGGAATACTTTTATATGCGAGAATTTAATTTTTGAGAGCACACTGTCTCGCGTAATTATGAGAAAATAAAGTTCTCGTGAATAAAAAGTGATTTACAGTATATAAATTTAACAAATTCCTTATATGGATATAACGAGTAATTGATGTAGCAAAGTAATTTCATAGGTCCCGGTGACTTTGTTATATCTTTGTTTTACTGTATTTCATAAATTAGTATTGTTTTTTAGATGAATTAAACCCCATTTTATTTTCACAGAATGTATGCGATGGACTGCATCATGGTTTTGAAGGAAAAGGTTACACTATTTATTACAGACAGCAAGAAAACATCATTGAACACCACCAACTAATAAGACTCCAAAGGTGGGGGAATATATGTCATGCAACCATTTATAGATTTTTAATGAAATTACTGCATTATATAAACTTGATATTCCATGTAAAGTAATTTATAAAATCAAAATAACCATTTAGTACCTTAATAATAATGCAGCATAAACTAAAGAATTCTAAATTGATGAATGATAAGTACATGTACATGTATATTGTAATTATTATTTTAGGAATAATGGAAAATAAGATATTTAAAGCTGTCAAAAAGCAGAGATTAGAGTTCAGTGGATTCTAAGACGGTACTTTGAATAATGTTAATCAGGCAGCAATTCTCTTCCCAAGGATCTTAAGTGCTTTTAGAAGAGGCTAATAAACAAAGGACAGTCACTTACTACAGAAGAGAAGCAGGGGAGATTAGTGATATTCTGAGTGGCATGACTGCACCTTACAAAGATGTAAAACTTTAAAAATTGTGTTTACATATACAATGATTATATGATAAGTGTATCTAGTAATCAATATTAATATGATTAATATTTTCAAATGTTTTTTACATTTTACTGTTCATTAATGAAAAAAATAATTTGTGTTGTATTTGAATTTGGAAATGTAAAGGAATTTATTTTAAACTGTAAACTGATATTCTTACATGTAAACATGTACTGGCGTGTGTACATGATGTATATATTGGACTCTGACAGAAAATGAATGCTACTTCTTTTTTTGGTGAAATTATTAATCACAATGATTTTTGTGCACATGATTTTTTTTAATTTTCCATAGGTTATGGTATCTATGAAACCTACTCAGCCTTTTTGTTTGGCTATTTTTAAATCATAGATATATTTTATTTTCTGAAATCCTCAAAAAATTATATTTTGTTGTTTTTTGTCAACATGAATTATCTCCCCCTTTCAGCTTGAAATTAGAAATAATACTGTAGATATAATTTGATTAATGAAAATAAATAATTGTGTTGTATTTGGATTTGGAACTATAAAGAAATTGTTTTGAAATGCTATTTATAATTTAACATGCATATTAAATATATACATGACATTTATTTGACCGTGACGAAAAAGTGAATTTCCCATTTTTTGTATAAAACTCTTCAATGGCTTTTGGAAATTAATAATCAATTGCACAAAAATGTTTTTAATATTTTATTTGCCATAAGGTATGGTGTCTAGGAAATAAACACTGCCTTTCTATTTGGCTGTAGTGTACTTTTTCTTTAAATTTTTTATCATATAGCTGAATTTAGGTGTAAATCCTTTTAAAATTGAAAATTTCAGTTTTTCTCGACATGGATTATCTCCCCTTTTCAGCTTAACATTAAAAACTATTACTGGACGTGGTAATATTTGGATTAATTATGAAAAGTAAATAATTCAATTGTATTTGAAAATGGAAATATAAAAAAATGGTTTTGAATTGCTATTTATTTTTTACATGCAAACATATATGGCATATATTGGACTGTGACAAAAAAAGTGAAATTACCATTTTTGTACAAAATTCATCAGTTGTTTTGGGAAATTAATAATCATTTGCACAAAAATGTTTTAATAATTTTATAGACTTTAGACTATAGTCTCTATGAAACTAGCTTGGCTTTTTAGTTTGGCTGTGGGGTTTTTAGAAATTTTTGATAGATAAAAATCCTAAAAAATGAATATTTTACATTTTTGGCCAATATGGATTATCTCCCCTTTTTAGCTTAAAATTAGAACACATTACTGGTCATAAAAATATATTGACTAAATATGGATAGTAACTACTTATGCTGTATTTTAATATGAAATAAACATAAATGTGTTTTATTGTTTAGTTTTCTTTTCATTTAATCTTCATTATTGGTATTTTTGCCTGTTTTTAGAGGAAATTTCAGCCATTTTTTGCCCAAAACAGTTTATCGGTTGCCATGGATACCAATGGCAGAATTTTAAAAAAATTATAATTTTTTTTTTGAGTATCTTAGCATACTCTACCAACATGCAGAATTTGAAGAAATTCTGAAACCCCCCATGAATCACCCTCTGCATGATTTTTACACGGAGCTGTACTTAATACGTGAAATGAGAAATAAACCGCTCTATGTGGTATAAAAAACGAAAATTATGTCTGTATTACGATTGCTTGATCTTTCATAAACCTTTGTTTGAGAGTTTAGCTGATTTTACTGCATATTTAGTTAATTAGTTGGCGATTTATTTGTTCACCTTTAAGTTGTTAGACAACTTCAAATTTCGGTCAAGTCATAAGTTTTGTGATAATCCCGGGATCACTCTATCTTTAACATGTAAATTATTGACATAGGCTGGGGAAAATGCATTTAGTTACTTGTTTTTCAGTGGCATAAGAAATTTAGGAAAAATAGAACTTCCATGGACATTGATGAAAGGTGAGACCGCCTTCTGCAGGCTCTGTTTTATGTGTTTATCCTCCTAAACAAATTAAAAGCGTTAATGGACCTTGTCAGTCGACGTACTGTTCTTGACATTGCTTCTGAAATTGGAAAATCATATGGAAAGATTGGAAGTATTTTGAAATATCAGTGAAAAATGAAGATAAATTTGTATATATTTATGAGAGGATACCCAGGCTTTTCTTTTGAGAAAAAAAAATGGAGAAAAGGGCAACATTTTGTAGAGTTACATATTCGAATTGGACATTAAGGTAAGATGATTCTATAACATGACGTGACATATCAAACTTAACGTAACGTCAAAGTCTCCCCCGGGTTTCACAACAATCCATTTTCAGAAAGCGCGTGTGAACTTATTGGTAATTGGAAAGTGGTGAAATTTTCCAATATTGTTGCATTATGACTCTATATTATAAATATGCCTGTTGTTTTGCTTTCATCAAAGCACGATAAAATTTTAGAGAGAAATTCCACGAACTTTTGGATCAACCCCCGTATATGCGACCTTTAAAGGTCATTTTCATTTTGATCAAAATGCCGTTATTTCAGAAATATGACATCATAAAAATCACGTTTTCCCGCCATTTTAGCATAATTTGTATAAAACTGCTTATTTTCAGGCAGTTTTTCTTTCGGAAAATATAGAGCGCAGCCTAGAACAAGATTTATATTTTTACCAGAGATGTATCTATTCAATACTAATTAGTGACAGAAAAATTATGCATGTTCTACACTGCACTCTATGTTTCCCATAAGAAAAAACATCAAGAAAAAGGCATATTGTTGGCCTTTTTGTTAGATAGCGAAAATAGCATTATTTCTAATGTAATTTACAGCTTGTGATTGCATATAAATATGAAAAATAAATTGGAAATATTTCTAATATAATCTCTTCTACAAAATAAATATAAATAAAACATATCTGAATGTCATTATAAAATGTTGATTTTTAGGGGGCCAAAATTGGCTCTTATCATATATACTCCTTTGCTTAATACGAGATTAATACACAATAATGTGTGCTGACAAGGAAACTACATTAAAAGAAGTTTAAATATATGACTGTATAAGAAGGCTAGATAATTCTTTATGAACTAGGTGGGTAAGACGTTTAATTTGCCTGTGTATTAATGAACATTGCTTTCCCGAAAAATATCTGCTCGTCTGGTGACATGTTAGATTTTGTCACTAACTCTTCCATTTCCCACAATGCATTACATTTAGGACATTTAACTTCTGCGTTGCCTCCAAATATATTTTCTTTGGTGTAATTGAAAAGATTCTCTGGCTCTAAAAATTATGAAAAAATATGGAAATCATAAATTATTTCAATTGCTTTAATAAGAAAAAATGATATATGATTTTCTAATCGAATTTTCTAAAAGATCAATTAGTCTGAAATATTTTTTGTGCATATGTTTAATGTTTTGTTGTTGGATAAAAAATTGTATAATATTTTGATATGGTGACTGTACCTTAAAAGGTGAAAATATAAAAATTAAAGAAACACCGTTGATTGATTATAATTAATTGTATATTGTTTAAAACCGAATCGGCAATATCTAAGTCATATTTCACCATTGAACACTTCACTAATAAAAACAAGAGGCCTTTGGGCCACATTGCTCACCCGAGTACCTAAGACCATAATATTTTTTACTAGACCCCCCTTATAATACGTATTGTGACCCCTTCCTAGGCCACAGGTCATGGCCACAACCCACATGGCCGAGTAGTTACTGAGAAAAAGATATTTTAACATATATTGAAAGATTTTTTATATGTAGTTCGGTGTATAACTAGGATTCCGAATTGTGGCACCGCGCTACCCCCCCCCCCCCCCGGGGGGTTATGATTTGAACAATTTAGAATCTACAATACCTAGGATGCTTCCACATAAGTTTCAGCTTTTTCTGGCCCAGTGTTTTTGAGAGGAAGATTTTAAAAAAAATTCCATATATTGTGTAAAACTTTGATTCCCTATTGTGGTCCAGCCTACCCCTACGGGTCATAAATTGAATGAATTAGAATCTACACTACCCCAGGAAATATACGTTCTTTTCTGGCCCAGTGATTCTTAAGAGGAAGACTTTAAAAGATTATCCAATATATTTCTATGTAAAACTTCCCTATTCCCCATTGTTGCCCCGCCCAACCCCCAGGAGACATGGTTTGAAAAATCTAGAATCTACACTAACCCAGAATACTTCCACATAAGTTTCAACTTTTACTGGCCCTTTGGTTCTTGAGGAGATTTTTTAATGATTCATCGGATATCCTACTTTTGTCTTTTCTGGATTATTTTCCCTTGTGATGAGACTTGCATGGCTCTTCATTTTAACGATTTATTTTCCCCTTTACCCATAAATGCTTTGTAGCAAGTTAAATTTGTCCCAGTGCGTCATTAGAAGAAGTCAAAAAAGTGAAAAGTTAACAGACGGACGACGGACAAAATGTGATCAGAAAGGTCACTAGAGCATTTGACTCAGGTGAGCTAAAAAGTTTTTTTTTTAGAATTGAAAATGACTTCAATGAACAGGCATGCAAAGATGCAGAGGTCTGAAGTTTTTTATCACTTGTGTGTCTTGCTAAAGACGTTTGGAAATACCTTGTACGGTATAATGACGTCTTTAATTAAAATCTAAAAGTAAATTTAACATGTACATGCAATCTATTTTTTAGATTTGATATTTGGGTTTTTTTTCTTTCAAATTACCTGTAAAATATTTGCAACTCATTCTGCTTTTCTGAGATGCTTCAGACCTTTTTGATATTACATCAAGTGTAGGTTCTTTGCCTCCGTATTTCCTTCCAACGGATCTTTTCGAATTTCCAATCATTACTTCAATCTGCTTCCTGAGTTTTTCAAGCTCCGTGAACGGAGTTTCATCATTATATAAAATCCCTTTATCTTCCTGTACAACCCAAACATTTTGCCTTTGTTCAGAGAGCGCTATAGACAAATTATCTCTAAGCTCAGAAATGACTGTCACATTCTATAAAATGCAATAGAAATAAAATTATGCAGGTTTCAAATACAAAAACCGTGTAAAACACTATATACATGTAGACTATGGGAAAAGCCTTTAAATATAGTCCTTAAAGTAAACCGTACATGTAGGTTACATGTAACAGCATTAAAACTTCTTGAAACTTTGTATCATATTTTGATTATTATTCCTTCCAATCATTTTGAGTAATGTTGCCAAACTTGATGAAAAGTATGCAAAAATTGTAAAATTTATTGTATATCAACTTACACCCAATCCCTTTAATTGTCAACATATTACATGTATCTGAAATTTCTGATCAAGTTTTCCTACGTGGTTTTAATAATATATTTCGTCTATTTTGCCACCGCTAGTGCAAAGTGTAAAATATTATTTTAGGTTAAATGAAGAAAAATAGTGTTTATATAATTGCCGCTTGTTGATTAGGAATGTCAAGACGAGGTGAAATAAAAACTACTGAAAAACCCCAAAACAATAAATATTTCTTCATAACATTTTCTTTTGACTTTCGGTAAATGTGTTTCTTTTATATTGCTGAATGCAAAATATATATTCCGACATTTTCACAGAATCTTTTTTTAAAAATATCCAACTGAGCAGCTCCTTTGTGTTTCGAAGGGACAAAATTTGGTCTCTCCCATGGCAGAAAAAATAGACTTTGCCATTGTAAACATTCGGGAAGGGGTGGATTGGGTCTTGGCTGTTTTATCATGTTAGATCAGTACCTAAAGATCTATTTAATGCCGCCCTGCAATTTCCACATTTCAATCGGATTTTGTTGAAAAATCATCTGACATCACAGGCGAAAATTGTATGAAAGATACATGAAAAGTCACTTTTAATGTACTTATCAACGACTAATGTAGCTTTCTTATTAGAAGCAGAAAATATGTGTTTGATCGGAAAGAAAATAAAATACTGTGAAATCAACTAATTTTTGTGTTGGGTACTTTTCGTTGTTCACGAGGTATTTTAAGACCCTTACATTTATGACCACCACGACATGTAAATATTCATATGCATTACTAAACATCTCCAACCACAAAATCAATTCCCATAAACCAATTTTTTTTTCCTCAAACCTCTTAAATTTGAACCCACGAAAACATGGGATTTTACAGTATCAGAATTTCACTATGTAATATAGAATCTATGAATGCTTTTCTCATTACTTATTGATGATGTAAAAAAAAAATGGATTAAATATGAGTGCTACCAATATCATGGACAGAATGACAGTGTCCAATATGTGTGAGGAACACCGAAATATTTGTCAATCAAATAAGTTAAAATAGGAACTGAATTCACAATATAGCATATATAATTTTAAGCTTCAGTGAAAGTCTCCATTAAATAAATACAGTTACGGATAAGAGATTGGTATTCCAAAGCATAAAAAAGCAAATAACAGATGTACAGCTGGACGGGCGAGCATTCCAATTTGTTATAATATTCCTTCGCTTTCACTGCCTTATACAGTGTAACTATAAATTCCATTTCAGGCATTTCAATCGGGGGATATTTCGAATTTATTGAATACCACTTATAGAGAAATCTAGATATAATATATATGAAAAGACATTAAGATCCATATTGGGTATTTTTACATAATTCAACATATGGTAATTGATATGTTTTTGTTGTGTCTACAATGCTCAAGATACCGTTTGAAATGTGTACTACTTTTTTGTACTAAAATTACATGTACCCTAACGCTGCATCTTCCTTGCAAGCCAGAGAGCGTCCTAAAATTCATCACTTTATCATTTTCCTTATCATCATCATCTGCTCTTTCGGAAGTTATTCTAAAATATTTTGGCATAAAAAGCATTACACAATCATTTCTAATAGCAAAAAAAAAAAACATAAAGATTTCTTCGTGGATAAAAACAAATATTCCTGGAGGTCAATGCCAGAGGGTGATTTGAATTTAGCGATAAATCTTAAGAAACAAGCTTGGCGCGATGTCATGCTCTTTTCCCTAAGCCCATATTGCCAGAAAACATATGCCTCGTGTAGTCAGGTGATTAGTGCATAACATAAAAAACAAGAAAACATTGATGTAACCATCAATTATCGCCCGGGAAATATATAAAGTAAACAATGGAAATGAGTCATGATCATGAAATCGCTTCGATATGTGTTAATCTCTGTTGAGATTCTGCTGTGCTAGATATTTGGACTGACGCGGGCGTCAATCTAAATATCTAGCACAGCAGAATCTCAACAGAGATTACGATATGTGTGAAAAGACATGTGTCTAATTCATGGAGACGATAGTCGCGAATATTTTGAGAACTTATAGTCGGAAATAATATGAAATAAAGGCAATCTCATTTTAAACTTCAATTCCTCGAGTAAATATTGGCTGCATAAAATATAAATTGAAGTTAGACACATGCATCACTTATATTCAAAAATGTATTTAATTTTCAATTTAAGAATATAAAACACGGGCTGTGCAGAGTACGTTTTTATGCGAGAAGTAAAATTCGATGTTCTAAAAAAAAAGGGGGGACCTGCCGGTTTTTCGATCGTAAATGATAAGCAATTTTATATATTGAATATGAAAAACACGTATATTTTTAAAGATTCACTTTATGGAAGTAAATATATTATGGGTCTAGTAATTTAAAAAGGGAAAGAACATTCTGATTAACAATCTTTTCAATGTTTAGAAAACCTTTAATTCTGAATAACTACTCCAACCCAAATTCCGGGCTGCAATAATATTGCTTGCTTTGACTCATTGTGAACGTCAATGTAGTAAAACGCGTCGAACAGAACAGTCTACTATGATATAATGAGATATATATCATTATATGTATATGGTGACAGTGCATTTAAGATGTTGTTTTTTTTTTAATTTCTGCACTCGACCGCCGAGTGAAGCGTCTGTTCAAAGCGTTTGCTGTAGAGTTGCAAAGTAAAAAGTTGATCCTTACGCCGCGGGTTCGAATTGTACCGTGGAAAGTAGAGACCGGTCCTTTTGATGACGCGACATAAACTGGGGTCCCGTGTCCCTCACAGCTAAATGACCCAAAGTTCCGAACATAGGCCTCATGTTATAGCTCTCATACAACATCAGTGATTCCACATAATTGAGGAATACCTGAGAGGGACGTTGAACAACAGCAACAATATAAAATGTATAAAATATACAGTATTATTCTCAAATAATAGCATTCATGTAATCATGTGTTTTGTGGTACTAGAGTTATTGTTTTCTTAAAAATTAAAACATATCGTATGTAATGTGTATTTGGCGTCTATCGGGGAATTCGCCGAACCGGTGTATATTAACCAATCAGAAGCGTGTATTTTCTTGTGTCTCGGAATAGCGCCACTTCACTGATTTAGAGTGAAAACAAAACACGTTAAATTTTTCTACTTAAGAAATCAAGAAATCACCATGTTTTCCTGTGAAAATTGACAGATTCCTATAGTAGACCATCAGTAAATAGTTTTATCTGGATTCTGGTAGACCTATACTCTGAAGTAAGTGCTTCTTGGTGATTTTTAAACGAATCCAGGATTTGATAGCTCCGTCCACAGCCCACAACACGATGGCAGAAGGTACTAAGATTCATGTTCGAATCATGGCACATTCATACATTTGCCGGTTAGGTGAATTTATCGCAGATAATGAACACTATGTCAATTTATTATTAGACAATACACGATATTGTGTAGACTTTCAAGCTAGAGGGGGTTAACATTTCAACGTCTAGCACAGTGCGCGGAATTTACTAATTTCCCCAAACCTCCCCCCGATGTGTGATTTCTGCAAATGGGCGGCAACGATTTATGCCGGGTACAACCCCAACAATAAATTGAAGGAATTTAAGAAACTGCTACCCTATAAAACATTTATTATTGGCAACATCGTGGATTTTGGACGGACCTTCTTTTCTTGGTCGTGATGGTGTACACATAGAGGGAACAGTCATACAGGCACATGAAAAAATACCTCCACGGCATTCGTATTGCAGTTCTACACCATTCTAGATAAGCCAGTGTTTTTAATTGAATTAACTATAGATCTGTAACTCTATTACATGTCAAAATTCAAGTATGGTTACACGCAGAGTAGTGTACATTAACTTAGTCTCAGACAGGGTTGTCTGATTCAGTTTATGCGTATTGCATAAACTATGTTTTGTGTATTTTTCTATCTCACTTTGTTTATACCATTCTACATTTTGCTAACCGTGCATCACCGTAACGTTGTGTAAACTAGTAATTTATACATGTTACTCTTAGCATGCTTAGGGTTATAGTTGTTTTTATATATTAATGCCATGTATAATTAGAATTCATTGCAATTAATGATACTATTGGTTTTAGTTAATGTAAATGCTAACAAAAGACAAAAACAATTACGTTATCTTGTTGGCATTCTTACTCTCTTCTTCAAAATCAGCAACAACACTACACGACTCTTCCTCATAGCTACAGAATATACAATAATAAAAAGTATCAAGCTTGTTCTATTACTGTAAAATTTATAAGTTGCTAAGTGATTTTGCATTGCGTATTAACAGACTACATACTGGACCAACCAGGCCAGGTTTAAGAGCAGTCTCTGAATTGCTGTGTGAACGCTATGGGACTGCTGTAGAAAGCATACCAAGCAGCCCAATTCATCCCCGAGATTACTGTCTTGCGCTTCTATGTTTACTGGGTGAAAAAGATTCTGAGTGACATGTTAAATGATGTATTCTGAATTGCAGACCCTCTATTGTTGTTTCGTTTAATTCTAGCAAAGAGGTAATTTAAACGAAAAATTAAACATTAATTCTTTAAAAATTTTAATAAAAAGTGTTGGGTATAATTACTTTATGTCTTCAGGGCCTGTAAATTTTCACTATTGTAGTCTAGAAGTTCTTAGAAAATGGCATTAATTTAAGCAATATCCTATGGGCCACGTCGCTCATCTGGACACATTGGCTTGGTAAAACACAAATCAGTCCAATATTAAATTTTTTTTACAAGATAAGGGGGCTTGAAATTTTGAAATCAAAATAAAAAATGGCTTTGCTGTTTTTGAACTGGAGAATTTACACTATTTTCCCTATATCTGTCATTGTTTAATAAAAGTCCTCCATTGTGACCCTACCCTACCCCTTAGGGATCATGAATTGAACAAATTTAAATCTACACCCGGATGTAATGATTTAAACAAACTCGAATCTACTTTATATAAGAATGATTTTATTTCAAAGTGACTAAATATAGCTTTATTTCTCTTGATAAGATTTTTTTCCTTTAAAATTCTATGTAAAACTTTGATTCCCTATTTTGACCCCAATCAAGCCAGATGGAGGGACTACAAACTTGATTTTCACTATGTAGACTGTAGAGAAGGTTTCCTATAAGTTTCATCTTTTCAGCGTGGTGATTCTTGAGACAATTTTAAAAAGTGCCATAAAATCTTAAATTTTTCCTTAAAAATGAATGAGTGACATTGCTTTATTTAAAAAGTACGCATTATAAAAAAAGGACATTTTCTTTGATAATATCGAAAATTTATTTCTTATAGTTTTGATGGTGTTTTTATACCTGGTTGATTCATAAAAAGAAAAGGGATGTAACTGCATAAAGCGATGTCAACAACTAAGGTTTCAATCACTTTTAGGATGTCAACGTCTGTTTTTGTGTATCATCATTGCACATAACTGAACAAATACACTGATTGCAATCAATCTTTGTATTGCAAAAATTCTGTTTTTATAAATGTGTATAATTTAATTTCTGCATTGAGTAATTTTGAAAATAATCATAGGGTTTCAATCGCGTGATTAAATATTGTAATTCATACGAGCTACAAGAAATTGGACTTGTACCATACATATTGATTTTTATGATAATTCAAAATTTACCAAAACACTAAGTTCTGTTTAGCAAACAATCAAGAGCTATGAAACACGTAACTTATCTTTATGAAATTCAAAATGAAATATCACAACAGTACTTAAGTTAGTTTTAAAATATTTTTACTTGTTGTGTAATTCATTGATGTATTTGTAGAACAAAGAAGGAAACATAAACAATATGGCAGCTTGATTTTTTTTATCTATTTAGAGCCGTATCGGGACGCATTAAAAAAATTAGTTAAATTCCTGCAGGCATGTTTAAGAAACATCTTAAGATATACTTACGACAATTCTTAAGACTAAGTTGGGGTTTCGAAAGTATCGTAACTTAAGAAAGTTCTTAAGAATTATCATAAAGTTACGACAGCTTTGGACATATCTTAAGTCTATCTTAAGTATAAATAGCTGCGTCCATGTTGTTGCTTGCTCGACGAAATCGTCGTATCAGACGTGAATGAGTATTTAAAGATATAGGAAGAATTCGAAAGACTGAATACTAGTATTTCGTTTAAATAAAATGTTTGATGTGACTATTAATTTTTGTTGATGCGTTCATCGAAACAAATGTAATACAGTTTAACTGATTAATGATATTTGCACTATTTCATTTAAAAAAGGTATTTATTTTGTAAGCCCCCCCCCCCTTCCTTGAAGCCTCAACGCTATCTAAAAAATCATGGATTTTTTGTAGTGTGTATATATCATCTGGTTTCTACATATGTTGAATTATTACACAGTTATAAATGTAAGTTATATTTACACATGACACGGACGTAGAATCGAGTTTGAAGGGGGGGGGGGGGGTAGAAGAAGAATTCAACTAACATAGAAAAAGAATCTAGCTAGATAACGTACATTTATAAAAAAAAAAAAAAAGCGACAAGCAAAAAAGAACCCCGAAAATTTTGTAGCTTGAAAATCCACAGGCACCTGACGTTACTTTATTTTTCTTTAAATAAAAAAATATAACCCCTACCTAATAATAATTTATTTTTAGGTAGGTGTATATTTTTTATTAAAAGAAAAAAATAATGTCAGGTGTCTGTGCTAAAATCTTATTTCGTGCTGGGCAGGAGAGGGGCTAGGTACCAACTTCTTTAAGTGCCAAATTTACTCATACACTATTCCATTACCCATGCATACATAGTAAGAAAATGTAACTTGTTAACAGAATAAAATTTAATCTCCTGAGAGAGTCGCGGAGTAAGGAGTTGATGCTTACGTCTCAGTCGTGTTCGAATCCCTCACTGCTCAATGGCCCTAAGTGTCGAGAATAGGACAAAATTTGTAGCTCTCCATCGGCAAGTGGTGGCGTCTCCATATGAGTGATTTCAAGATTCTCGAGAGGGACGTTAAATAATCAATCAATCAATATTAACCTATGAGAGAGAGAGAGAGAGGTTTTTTTCTCTGTCATAATGATTCAACACGTCTTAACTTAGAAAAATCGAGAGAGAGAGAGAGAGAGAGTTTAAATGGTTTTTTCCGGGTGACCTCACAGGTGTTGATACATGTACTGCCCTCTATGGCAGAGATTGGAGTATAACCAATTATTCCCACAATTTTTCTTGCAAATGATTTAGTCTTTGAGGGAGGGGGGTCCTCCAGTTTTGCCTACTTCCTTCCAATTTTCCGCTGCATCCGGTGTAAAGACGAATAATGACCCCGATCGAATAATGACCGGGGGTCATTTTTCGACAACGAAAAATGACCCCCGGTCATTATTCGACGTTGAAAAAGAAATTCTGTTTACTTGACAATTAAAGAATCTCTTTTCAAACACAATTTTAACACTGAAAGACTACGTAAATCTCTGAATTATTTCATACGACTTTTTGTATTTTTCTTGTGACAGAAAATGTAAAAATTCATTTTGTTGTAAAAAGGTATCAAATTCGAAAATGTGTATACTAGTATTGTGAAAAAATATTAAAAACTTTATAAAAACTTTATTTCGTAATAAAGTTTATTCATACATTCAAAATAATGGAATAGGTATGCATCTCTCTCTCTCTCTCTCTCTCTCTCTCTGCAATTTGCCCTTTTATACCGGTAGTTCAAATGATAACAAGAGGGGGTCATTTTTCAATGGGGGTCAATTTTTTATAGAACTAACATATAAAATAATGACCGTAGGACTCCTTTTCTACAACAAATGATTTTTTTTACGGTTGGGGGGTCATTTTTTTGTCGTTGAAAAATAACCCCCGGTCATTATTCGATGGGGGTCATTATTCGTCTTTACACCGGATTCACTTATGTAAATTGGCGCACTTTTCATCGTTCAAGAATTCTGAATGATCAATAGCACTCTATTTGATTTTAGATGTAACCAATATTACAATATATCTTTGATTTTAGATGATTAATAATTAAAAATATACAATTTAATTCAAATTCTTTTTTTTTTTTTAATTTTCACTCTTTTGATATTTTCATTATGATGAAATAACGTGTAGCATTACATATAGCAAAAATTTACAACTCTCTGATCTCTGACAATGGTAAAAAGCTTTGAGTATTTCTATGTCATTATGATTTAAGACGTCTTAGCTTAGGATAGTCATAAGATAGCTTTGAAAAACACCTTAAGATAATCTTACGATGATCCTAAGATTTTCTTAAGATACATCTTAGGAAATTTCTTGTGAACAATCTTAGGAAAGTTTCGTAAACATGCCTGCTGATCATGTGTAATGTGAATATTAATTATCTAAAGAAATCCGTCGAAAAATTATATATGTTACCTGTTTTTTTTTTTTTTTTTTTTTTTTTTTTTTTTTTTTTTTGTTTTTGTTTCCATGTTACCGGTCATTAACTGTGATATAATTTAGGACAGTTTCTGTTTGTTTGTTTTTTTTTAAATATACCTGATTGTAAGATTAAACAATTTTAAACTCTTGTTTATTCTATTTATATATATCTTAAAAATCAGGGAATAAGTTTTTAGCTCTAATAATATTGAGTTTTGTTCTTCTATTTACCGTTTCGAGTCTTTTGTTTCCTCTTCCGTTGTATTAGTTTCGTGAGGAGATCCTGAAAAAATCATGCTGCTCTTATCTAACGTTAGACAGGTGCCAAAACTTTTTATTTTTTTTTTTAATATGACTGATCACGATATCATGATGATGTATTTCTTGACAGTAAGCTACGCACCCGTTGGTGATATATTTTCTATTTCCAGCAAATTTTCTTGTTCTTTTTCGGTGGGTTGCGATGCATAATCATTACATTCCTCTAAAATATAATATAACGGTTTCTAAGATTTAATACAAATGTCTTGCATTTTATTTAGTTTTCATCATGCCATGTTCCTATGAACAAATTGTTGATAAAATAAAAATATGCTTTCAGCAAAGAGGAACAATAATTCTTGTGACTCGTAATATACATAATATGATCAATGCTAACATGAAAAGTTCAACTGCAAACTAGGAGACTCAAATCGTTTTACATGAAAAGTACCAACCAGACCCAACCTGACATCAAGGAATTCAATAAGTAGTCCCTGGGGCTGCTTACTGAGACTGCTTTGTTTACTCATGCATGTAATAGGTTATGAGGGGCATGATAGCCCCGCCCCCTTTCTATATTCTAAATTTGCAGGTCCCCTACTTTAAGCAGAGAGATTTTTAAAATGTAGAAAATGCAAAAAAGGGTAGGATTATGGCACACATATTCAGCATTCAAATAAACCTAAAAAAAATATTTAAACAACCATGAAATATAATTATGCTACAGTCTACATGTATCATTCTTCTGTTACATTAACAATATGAACAATTATTGGGGGATTTGTTAATGAATTAGTTTATTTTTATTCATAAACAAGTTATAAAGAGAGTACATTTATTAATAAAAGAAACATTTGGAAATATCTGTACTTTTATATTATTTCTTATTTCTTTAATTGTTTACCTGGTCGATTAATGAGCAAAAAAGGATACAAACGCCTGAGGTTTCAATCGCCGTTGGACATGATTAGCAGAAAGTCATTAGGTGTTATTTGGGTATTAGTGTAACATATCGTTGAACATGCTGGTCAACAAAGACCATAAATTCAATCTATGTAATGCAAAAAGAAATTTACGCAAAAAACATGTGTAGAAAATTTCTTTCGAAATTAATTATTCTGAATATCATTTTAGTGCTTGGACTGATTTCTGGGACTGTTGTGGGATTGCCCTGGGACCGAAGTGGAACTGCTTTAGTAATGTAGCATTCCCAGAAAGCAGTCCTTGGAACTGCTCTGGGACTGCTTTTTGTCAGGCTGGGGTGGTTGGTAATGTACATACGTATAACATGTATAAGCAAACATTAAATATATTAAGCTCGTACGCTCTTGAAGTCCTTATACCGTATATCATTACATTAACTTTGATATCAAATTGCAAGCTCGAGTAAAAAACACAATCAGGTTAGAGCTACTGTGGAATAAAAAAAAATGGGGTTTATTTGCGTTCTTTTCGATGTATGGAGAGACCCACAAATTCACGACAACCACAAAACGTAAGATAAATAATGCACTTTTAATCAACACTTCTATAGCCTGGTAATCGCATCGCTTATCAATATTTTTAAACTAGCTCGAAAATTTACCACCACAATGTGTGATTTTAGATTTAAAAAATTGGAAAACCTCTAATTAGAAATTTACAAAAAGCTTTATATCATTTGTTCATCTTTTTAACATCATCTAACAAGGTTCAATAGAAATGAGGTACTATCACTTTTATAATTTATTTTCCTATTTAAAAGAGAACAACACTTTTATTTGTACATATATCTTTTCTTCTATTAATTTTGTTTGTAATCTATGCAATCTTATTAATAATCGATAAAATTGAAAACACGCAATTACCTCAGTCTCTATACAGAAGTCTAATTTTTATTTACTTCTACGTTAAGATAATCAAGAAATAAACAAAATATTTTTTTTCTATCACAACCATATGAATTTAAATCTATATTTACCATTTCCCTTTCCTCTAGTTCTGCACCAGTTTAAAAGCTTTTTCTTTTTAAATATCAAAATAGTGATAATAGGCAGTAGGAGAGTTGTCATCACAAAAAAACACAGGAGGCCAATCAGTAAATGCTCTTCCTAACAAAAAACGAAGAACGGTTTTGGAACTTAAACGAAACTATTTTTGCTTAAGCAAAAGATAAGGTGTCCTAATGATCAGTATGTCTTTATAGCAATCACTACTCTTACAATTTACATCACATAAATGCCAGTAATTGACTATAAGATTTAAAGTAAACAAAATCTAAAAACAATAATTTGACATTTTGACTTCAAATTCCTGGGGTTTTTTTTTTTTGCACATTTATCTTTAAAAAATATTTATTTTAAATTTGTTTATTTCCTTCTTTGATACAAGTTGAACTACGACGTAAGGGCTAAACCGATGTCTTTTAATCCTTTATAATAGGTATTATTCCAGTACTTGACATGATATTTCTAGGATAGGACAAAAAATTACAGATTGATCTTATGAACCTTATTCCAAATATAATGATCACAACTACTTTTATTATATATCTTAATTCGTACATACGATTCTCTTTCAGAAGAAGGTGTTTTCTTATCAATGATGTTTGATGGTGTAGACTGTTGAAGATATTCATAGCATCCCTGATCTGTAATTATGAGATATGTATTTAACCTCTTTCCCTCGTTCTAATCTTATACATACACATACACGCACAAACAATTAAGATAATTCGTATTTTGAAGATATCGCACGATTTTTTTTTTTTACATTTAAAAGATTCATTTGACAGAAATCTTGAAGGACATGGTGTGGAAAATGCTGTACAGTCCAACCCTGGGTCATTAATTATTCTCCCATCTGCTACACTGAATCTTGCACAAAATCCTAGAAAAAATGAAAATGACACAATTTTTTCCAATTATACAACAAACATCTTTTCAAATTCAGATAGATATGAAAAAAGTTATAGGTTTCAAATTATTTTTAATTATATCAATTAAGCATTTAACGAGGGCTACAATCTCCCATTTGGTCTGTTCTACCTAAAAATATTTTTTGTACAAGTTGTTTTATAACAAATATATCCTTAAGGTAATATGATTTTAATGAGACTTTGTATAAATATTTTTAATTTTTGTTACTCTGTGTCCATAAACACTGAAAAATCACATGTGTATGGATTCATTCTTTTAATGGATTTAACCTTGATATAAACATTTTAGGATTATAAATTTCCTTTACATATTGTACCATCATGTTGAAAAAGTACATTTTGTTTGTTTGTTTGAAATGTAATCTTCCTTTATGCGAATGTTTCAATACTGAAGACGCAAATACTTTGATTTTTAAATCGATTTAAAATAAAAATCAAAATATTTCCACAATATGTACTTTGAAAAAGAGTTAAGACCCCCCTTCCAAACATACATACGTACTAAATAAATAGATATTTGCTTATAGAATCTGAAAAGTATCACTAATAACAGATTTTAAGTTCTCAAGCATTATTTAAAAAAGGAAAATGTGTACATAAAATGAATATACACAAGACATATAGTGATCATTAAAGGTCAGGGGAAATTCTGGTAGGTCAAATAACACATATGTCTAGAGGATAAATGATCGTGAAAGCCAAGCAATCGGCTGTGATTTGAGTAAATTATAAGTTTAGCATTATAAACTGAAAACGGTGCATAATTGTAAGGTTTCGAAGTTTTAATGATTAAGGAAGCTCTAAACACTAACATAAACTGTTTTTTGGACTAAGAGAAAAATGAACCATGTGAAGATATGCATATTGAGACTTTTTCCTTCATTTAGAACATAGGGTACGTGCCTTACATGTATTTGTACAGGAGAAAATGTTCAAAGACAATGGACTATCTGTGAGCAGAAATCACTGTTGTTTACGTACATTGGGAAAATTAATGAAAATAATTAATTAAATTTCTTACTCTTCGTCTTTCATAATGCAAAAAATATCTAATTTATCATAAATTACATTGTATGTAATTAACGGTAAATAAAATGTTCTTTAATCTTACATCTAAGGCAAGATCGCTCTAACTGCACAAAATTACCCAATAAATAGAGCTCTTTAATGTACGTTAAGAGCGTCCTTAACAACAGACTGAAAGAAGCCATAGTCAAAAAGACAATGATCTCCTGAATAACGTCACCTTGACCTTATACGTCAAATAAACATGGCTTGAAATTATGACAGGCCCCCTTGTTACAAGTAACCTTTATATTTTCCTTCAATGGTAAAATTCTGTTAACTTGGATTTTACATGACATACAGATTCAATACATAGCTGTAAAATGGCCTACCTGACATAAACCAGAATTGAGCACAGACCTCTAAATATTTTGTTCCATCCTTGTTCAAAACACAGTGGTATACAAACTTTTCGGGGTCAGTGCAACTCTGCAGTGTTGCCAGTTTGTTGCACTGTTTTTGTTGTGCTGCTGATTCCCATTCTGATTCATTAGACGGACACCTGGACACGTAGGATACAGTTGGTACGGTAACTGGACAGGACAGGCCAAGTGATGACTATAAAACGGGGAAGGGATAGAAATTTAGAGGTAAAGGTGATATATTTATATGACCAATTTAAGAAAAGATATACTTACAAGTAATATCGTACTAAAAGAGAGAAATATACTCGAAAGAAGAAGTACTCTCATCTTCAGTCAAACCAGAATCTGCAATAGAATTATTATAGCGTCAAGTTGACACATGTTTTAAAATCAAAAAAGACATTTTCTAAAATAAATGAGAAGTAAATTACAATGTACCATAAACATTAATGGCAAAGCAGGCAAGTGGATATGGAGCAATTTTTTAATGATAAAGAAGCAGTTAACACAATTGTTTTATGACACAAAATAAAAACTGAACAGCTTTCTTATTATTTGAAGAAATGTTTGTGAATAGATATTCCTTATTTATTGGAAATGAAAAAAACATCCCCACAAAATTTAAATCAAAAACATCTTAACATGTGTAACCTAATAATACACACAAATCCACTTCTAAACAAACAAATAAAGCATTGATCATGAATCTTCGAAAACGAGAGTACATTGCAGTGAGCTTTTCACCAATTTATATGAAAACATTCTTGATGAAGGAAAATTATAATGAATACTTTGTTTACCCTTGCAATAAACCTTGACGGTATTGAAGAAAAGAACGTTAACTTGGTAAAAAAATAATTGCTCTTTATTTCCATGTGAAGCAATCGAGTTATTTGACAAAGCGTTAAATTAACAATTAATAACGTTTTGGGAAAATATATTGTGACAGTACCAATGTAGTAACTTTCTGCTCCGCTACTGCAATTTAAATACATTATAACATTGTATATAAATTTTTAATATACATGTATTGTCTTACCTGTTTGGACAGAATGTTACGCTATGTTTAATGTACTTTCGGTTTGTTAAGTACTTAGTTTATCTATAAATCGATATTTTCATAAGTATTACACGCAAAAACATATTGTATTTGGCTATGGTGCGAGTATCTTGGCCAAACACAGTTGTGATTATTACTTACTTTCATCCTTTTTTTACCGGACCAACCTTCCTCTACGAAAACTTGTAACGGTTGAGTAATCTTCATGGAGGATTAAATAGACTGTGAATTATATTGCTACGTAGACTTATACAATATCAAAATAAAGACTTAAAAGCATAATTATTCAAAATTATTTACTTGATACAATTTTTTGTAAAAATAAATAAATTAATAAATAAATCATTATAAATCTGGTAATATTTAAATGGCGTCTAATTTTTGTAAATTCATGCCTTTATAGAGTCTTTAAAATGAAAGTGATTTTTACAGATTGAACTACGTCTATTCTTTTAAACATATTTTAGCCAATTTGCCTAAGTTCAACAAGACGTTGAATTAAGAAGGAAATGGTGAGTATATTTGGATGGCTTTGAACTATTGAAAAAAAATCATATAAATTAAAGAGATTATTATTCTATTCAACTTAGTATAATTTGAACATTTTAGGTCAAATGTGTTGTGAAAAAACCTTAGTTGAAAAAAATATATAATGCATGAATCTCATTCAAAAGGAGAAGCCATCAATGGTTGTTTTATGAGTAATTAAAAATGGACGACTAGAGGTTCAATATTAGTTCTGCAATGGAATTCAAAATACTGGGTTCATTTTCCATCGTCCTACAACCCTGCTGCAAAAAAACATCAAATATAACCCATATATTGAAATAAAATAAACTCTTACAAAGCTTTGCCACCCTTAATCTCAGTTGTCTTTAGTTTTGTTAAAACTTTTTTTTAAAAAAATCAGAAGATTTTTCAATTTCTAACTTGGAAAAATGTACTTTAATCGGTGACTATGAGCAAATGTTAAGGTTACAATGCGGAGGTGTTTTGACATGCATTTTGCTTAACAAAAATACTTAAAGGGGTTAGGAATATAAAACTGTCTCTGCTGTGCTTTCCTTCGTTTTACATTAAATTATTTATTAAATCACTGTCGTACATATGCCAAATCTTGTGCAGTCGTCTGTATGTTTAATCCTTCAGATGAAATCAATATTTTCAGTCAAATATGATGTTATTATGGTATTATTCGTTACATGTAGATACATAAACCGTGTCATTTCCTCGTGTGCACTGTTTTGTTTTTAAAATGTATCCTTATGTATGGAAATTTTATTAATTTAACTTCCTATTTCCGATGATATAGATAAGGGCATACTACATGTATCCCTTTAATTCTTTATTGAGAAGTCTAAATTAAGGAGGAATGCCACACATACTTTTTATTTTATAGATCTCTGAGTCAACCTTTTTCAACAATGGTTTCAGTATTAGCTCTTAAATATTTTATATGAATTTTTTTGTGTTTTTTCAAAGAAAATGAAAAAATTATGTATATCCAAATTAGATGCTTTCTTGTAAAAATGTTGCTGTAGGTGAATGCATCACATGAATACCTAATAAAATATGTAAGGAAAAGCCGTATAGATATTAAAATTTTTTAAATAAAAAAATATTTATTAAAATAAATCACATAATTTGTGAATATTTTTTAAACTTGTGGTTAAAATCTCCTTAAAACCCGACACCACTGGGGAAAATATGTTTGTTAATCATGTTTTATAAACGAAATTGAAACGAAATAGCCAAATTTTAGAGAAATTATTTTTTTTTATTTTGGCCAATCTCGATCAAAATTAAAACGACCCCAACCATAATTGTACAATTATTGGAAATAAATAACATTTCCAAAAGAATACGAGTCTCATTGGGCGGACCCAGGGGGGGGGGTCCGGGGGTTGGACCCCCCCTTATTTTTTACCAAGTGGAGAGAGAGAGAATAAAATGTTATCCAAGAATAAATATTTGTACCTCTAACTCATGTATTGAATAGATAGATTCTCACACATTTCGTTCCATTCACATTTGCCATTCCTTTATATGAGAGAATGGTAGAACACATTCTACTTATTTTTATATATCTTATATCTGATACGTATCATGCGAGGTTTAACTTGATATTAGATTCCCGCGATCTTTGGTTGTGTCGGCTTTATATGTATCGTTTTTTATCATATATTTTGAAGGAACTAACAAATAGCTCTTTGTTTTAAACCCAACCCGCACCCCACCCCAAAAAAGTTTATTTTTAAATTCTGAAAGAAAATTCCATGTACTCTTCGGAAATGCTGCAAATCTATCAATTTTTAGGCTTCAGTAGTTTTTTAAATGTGTTTGTTTATTACTCGGACTGGGGTTACCTATTCCAAGAAAAGAGGGACGTAAAACGGATATTATTTATCACATCTTATTTGTATATAAATAATATTTTTCATTTTCCTTAAAAAAAAATAAAAATAAAAAAAAATAATAATTAAGAGCTAATAACAACCTTTCAATGCTGAAAACATTGTTTAAAAGGGATGACTCAAAGATCTATTAAATGGAAAGTTGGTGTGGCATTCCACCTTAAATTTTCACAGAGAATCAAAGAAAAAAAGTGTATAAGAACGAGTCAGTAACAGTATTTAGCATACTATAATTCAAAGAAAAAATAAAACATACTGTAATGATCAGAAAAGGTCTGGACCACAAGGAAATAGACGGTTTATGAATGTCAAAAATTTACCTTTACAGGGGATTTTATGTACATGTATTATTATCTAGACAAGTTAGCTGCTTATTTGATATTACACGACATAGAATCAGATTGATTTAAATTATTTTAATTTGATTTGTTAACCTCCTTTATTCTAGATGCAGGAATTATCAACTTCTTTTCATAGCTTTCCAAGAAACAGTTTCCAAGAAACTATGTTTGATGGACGATGATGATTTTCGAGTTCGTGCATTGTTGCTGGTGCAAAAAATATTTCGTTTTTTCCTCGTAGCAACAAAAAGACAGGGGCCACAAAATTATTTTACAACCCAGCACAGTGGGTTTTATGCATCAACATTTATTTGAAATTTGATCAGCCATTCAAAACAATCTTACAGTTTTACACGTTGACAAACTTAGAAAGGAGTAGAAAAGATGACAGTTGATTAATTGACCACAGAGATCTAAAAATATCTAGTCAATATTATTGGTTGATATAAAAAAAAGAAATGTCAACAGCAATACATATTGACGCCCTCTGATATCGAATACAATAGTCAAAACTTCCCGAAGTGCATCGTATTCTTAGGATTATTTCAAACACGTTAATTTACATTTAGAAAAATGGGTTTTATGTTCATTTTTCTATTTCTAGTTCCTTTGTATATGGTTAACACTGAGGGCAATATGTTTGAAAAGTAAGAATAAATTAATTTGATCACTAGCATTTATTACCTTAAAATATAAAGCTTATTCTTAAATATTCTAACGAGTAAATTAGCTGAAAATAAAATCATTTGTTACAGTTTCTTATACATATTTTTACAGCTTGGTATTTTTTGAAGATTGTCGAGAATGGGATTATATTTCTTTTTCTTGTAAAGGTTAGTATATACCTTATGAACAATGACTTCACGAAAGAAAAATATGCAGTAAAATATACCGTAAATCTGGAAATTTTTGCTGTAGATAATTTTTGAGCAAATTTGCGAGTTCATTGCATTTGCAAAAATATTTTTCTTTAAAATAAATTACCAATAAGAATATGTAAACAAAGCAGTGGTCATTCGCAAAATTTTGAAACGTAAAAATTAATCAACAGAATTTTGACCCGAATTCGCAAAATAAAATCGACGTAAAAATTTCCAGATTTACGGCATTGTTTATTTTTCTACCTTTCTTGAATATGATGTAGACATTTACATTTTGGAACAATTTCTTAATTAATCTTTAAACATTTTTAATTTACGAAGAGAAAAAAATTAAATCGACTTTTTAAAACCAACTTTTATTAGAAAGATAGATCAATAATTACCCGATTTAAAAAAAAAAAAAACATTGAATATATTTTTATATTAATTTTTCAGACTTCATATTCCTTTCCTAATTTTGTTTTATCTTTATAGACTTTTTTCACTCTCAGATATGTATTTCAACATCCACAGTGCATTTTCTATATTTCCTCTATTTTGATATTAGTCTGTTATCCTGGATATATTGGACCGAACTGTTCACAGATATGTCCGTATCCTAATTATGGCTCAGAGTGTCAGGGCAGATGTGATTGTGATGAGCGCCTCTGTGACATTACTACAGGATGTTACAACGATTCTGGTAAAAACATGTAGTACTTATCTACTGACAGAAATAGATGAATCGTGCCAACAAAATTAATAATCCTTTTATTCCTATTTTTTTTCCTCCTCGTTTCTATGTAAAATCTCTTGGAAAGCACACGATTTTTAAATTCAGAATGATGAGATTCAAACACTTCTTTGGAAAAAAAAATGAATATATTTATATATATATATATATATATATATATATATATATATATATATATATATATATATATATATATATATATATGTATATATATATATATATATATATATTTATTTATACATGTATGACTACATTATCATGGTTTTGCTTTATATAATATTTTAAAGATTATTCCTACAGCCGAGAGTATATTTTAAAAAAAAAAAAACTAAGATTACCTCCTTGGCCCGCCTTACATCCGGGTTTATCATATGAATGAATTCGAATCTATATTTAGACGGAAACATTTAAGACATGTTTATATTTTCTTCATTAAGTTTGGAATTTCCTCATATAATAAAGAAATATAAATCATGACAAATGAACACAGTAAAAATTACATGTATGCTCACATTTTAGCAGAATCTATATTATCTCGTGAATGCCATCTTGTTTTGACAAATATTGATGTAAGTTTATATTTGAATGCAAAAAAATTCATTAACATCAATGATTTGAAAATAAATGTTTCGTGTTTTCTGATCAGGGGTAAAAATAATAAATATTACCTTCAATTTTGCAGAGACCTTTCGTATTTAAGGTTACACGAAAACAGACAAAATTAAGTAGATAACGTGATTATATTGACAAGATACGGTGAATTCTACGAACAATAATTTTTGTATTCACAAATATGAAGAATGCATGCATTGATAAAAAATAAATATTAATCTAATTTTAGTACTAATCGAGATAACATAAAAACACTTACCACAGCAACTAGCACTTGAAGGATTTTAAATCAGTTTATTTCCTACCTTTAATTATCTCTTAAGTATCAATTGAAAATTTTTTTTATACAAATAACATTTGAATTTCTTTATCATAAACATTTTTTTATAAAAGCTCTGAAACTAAATAAATGCGTTTACGTGTTGAAATAAAATTGATGTGTAAGCAACAAACAGAATAAGGTCCAATAATTGCAGCATTTTTTTGAATCATTATTTTATTTTAATATGAGGTGTCCTTGTTATTTGATGAAATGTTTCAATATAATGGAATAAGATGTACAAACGTACAAAAAGTAGGATATAAGACAAATAAAGTCTGGAGTATGTAGAGGCAAAATGTAATTGAAAGTGACATCAAACATCAAACAAACAAACAAATTTATTACACAATAAAAGCAATTAACAAATAAAATCATTAGCTGTCTCATTGACATATAACGATGTAAATGAAAAATATATTTACTTACATGCAGTAATCATATTTACATTTCAAACAAAGCAGTCTACGTGTAACTTTTAAATTTAGCACTTATAAAAACTAGATTTATGTAATCGTACCCAGCAAATTACGTCATACATATTCATTTTAATTCATGTTTGATGTGTATATATGTGTAATCGTACATTAGCAGTTCTACTTTCGATAATGCAAAATTCATATTATAACAGTTGTATATTACGAAAAGTTATTCAACTGATAAGAAAGACATCAATTTGCATTTTGGCGTTTTTTTTTCTTATAATGAAATCTTGTGTTTGCTCACTTCATTCAAAAATTCTTTATTATAAGGAAGAGTACTTGTCACTCTAATGGATTATACTAGTATTGGTATATTTTAATACTTTGCACAATGTACAGTAGACTGAACTACAAAATAAGATACTGATTAAAGCAATGTTAACAAAAACAACATAATGCAAAATGTTAAATGTAAATCAGTCAACATTAATGCAAAAGAACCTTATTTATGCATGCATGGAGAAAAGAAAACATTTCATTCAAATTTTTACATTTGTTGAAATGAAAAATAAGGCAAAGGAGGTCTTATCTTTGCATAATAAACTGAACTAAACCAATAAAAAAATCCGCATTGTAGGAAATCTTCCTTCATTTAGTACTGGCATGTGTGTTCGCCTTAAGGACAATGAAATATCACTCCAAACATTTTTCATTAATGTTGTACTGTTTTGTTTCACTTAGGACGTCAACAAAGTGCTTTATTTAGTTACTTATCAATGGGAATAAGGATTTCATTATCAATTCCAGAATAAACGGATATAAAACTGACCGAGGGATTTGGAGCACTTCGTGAATCATCGGCATCAGAAGCTGGACACTCCACAGCCTCGTAGAGATTGGACACGTCCAACTGGCATGGTGTATTTCCAGTGTTAGAGTTGGGATTTTGATTGTTCACATATAGAGAGGAAAAGTAGCAACAACTTTCTCCTGCCAAGTTGGTAGATTCGATGCAGCTTACGGTTTCTTTAGGACTTACCTTTTCATTATGTATCATGATATTGTCAGATCTTTTGTTACACCACTTCCGAATTTTAAGTCTTTGAAACCAAATCAAAGCCCCAAAAAGAAGAAGAATAACAAGCAGCACGGATATGATAGCGGCAGCAATAGACGTTTTCATCTGAGATCTGGATACTTTCACAGCAACAAGACCTTTCTTCTCTGAAAGAAAATTTTATATATAAAAAACATTAAAATATCATTTGTTTCGTTAGACACTTATCACGAAATATTTTATAGGAAACAAATCATAAATCAAACCCTTTTCTTCTATACACCCAAGAACGTGATCACATTGGTTTTGGGGGCAAATGCATCTTGTTTGGCAATATTTGCCAAAATTTGGATATCGACACTTGTAGGCTCAGCCAATTCCAAAATATCCAGGTCTACAGCCTATTTTAGAAATTAATTGGTATTCTTGTATTCTGCCGACTTTTATGACAAAACAAACAAACGAGATTTGATGGAATTGATAGATTTGATTAATATGTCAAATATTACATTATTTTACACAAATGCACAGAGAGATAAATAAAACATTTTTTTCATATCAAGATAAACATCAAGTTTCAACATACAGTATCAAAAATTAGTTAAAATTCAGTTAAAACATCAAAGCGATAGTACAAAATGTTAATCTTAATTTATTTAGTTTTACCCTCTCTTTTTGAACATCCAAGGACGTTGTCAACATCTCGCTCGAACATTCACAAAACTCTTGACATAATTCGCCAAAACTAGGATATCGACAAGGAGTAGAACAGTTTTTGCCATGATATCCTGGAGTGCATTTTCTACCACTTTCTAATAATTAATCAGATCTTGATATTATATTTGAATATATACTAAGCAAAATAAGATAAGCAATTAGAATGTTTCACAAAACACAGAGTAATGAAATCAATTAAGATACAATAAGATATATCATCTTTGATACGCAAGGTTTCCATTGCAAAACAAAAAGGTCTAACTCCATCAGCATAGTTAATAATTTTAAAACTTGCTGCTATTGTCTTTGAATCAAATAAAATATTGTTGCTTCTTTATCTTACTTTACCTCAGTTCGAGTTTATTTTCTATGAAGTTATTTTAATATTAATATTTAATAATTGATTGCTAAAACTTATTATCAAAATCCACATTAGATGAATGAAAACGTACAAATACAGTGTAAAATTAAAATGTTAATATATATTCTGTCTCTAAATCATTTTTTCTTTGAAACCTTTTAGGGAATATTTTTAAAAAGCTTGAAATATTTTTACAGCCCATTTGATGATTTGTTGCAATTTTATCAATTAGACTCGTAAAAGACAGTGCTGATGCCGTCATATTATCTTTATCTTATACTCTATTAATTATAAGATGGCCATGGCATTCGCTTTTTTGGGCCAAGCGAATTCACGGTATAAGATTTCATTGCAAGAGAACAAAAGTCTTTTTTATAGATGGAGGATATGGAGATGAAGAACAGAATTCAACATCAAAGTCCGTAAAACAATAAAACTAGGAGCAGAGCAAACACGGACCTTCGAAACATCAGAGATGCGATCATGTGCGATAAATATCAAATGTAAACTATACAATAAAAACATGTAAGGCGTAGACAATTTAACGGCTAATCGGATATGTAATATCGTCCACTTTCACAAAGAGACATGGGCAATTATTGCCTTGCTGTGAAGGTTTAATACCTAAATTATCTCTACAGAATTATGTAGTACTGTCAAAAAAATATAATGACTGGGGACACCTGCAATAGGTGAAGTCTAACCATAAAATGAGTAGTAAGAATAAGTCTTCCTGGAGGAAAGTGTGGCTTCGGAGAAAAAAGAAACCTCTCCCAGCGTCCTCCATTTCTATTCCACTGAGCTAATTTCACTCTCTAAAGCTATACTTCCGGGGAAAATCTTACTTTTAAGCAAGACCTCTAGGAGAAGCTTAAGTCTAACTGTGGTGGAGTCTTACGCTACAAAACATATGTTACAACTGCAAGTGCAAGGGAAAATTTCAATAAGTGGCACTTCGACTTAAGCAAGTACGTATGTGAGTAAAAAAAAATCTCAAGTTGAACGTTTTACAACATGCAATCAATGAATTAAAAAAAATTTATAAAATACGTAAAATTAGATATTAGTATATCGATATTAAAGATTTATGTTTAAAGTAATGTATATAGCATTATATTACATTCATCTAATGGACTTTATATCAACGCAATTTAATTATAAACCTCATACATGTATATATACAACATTCTCGTATTCTCCTATAACAAAATAAATACACTTAATAGAAAATACAGCTATTTGCGATAGGGATCTATCACTTCCTTTTCTGGTTAAACATAATTTTGATTCCTTTTTATCTATGTACATGTATTAACTTAATCAGGAAATAACAAATTTTCGAGGGCCTTTATCTTTCACTTTCTTTTGTTTTGGTAAAACACAAGTAAACTGACGTGGAGATAACATCATTGATCGCATAATAATTATTTTAAAACAACATATGCATAAGCAGCAACTTAACGTTGATGTCATAATAACATATTGCAAAACTGTTACTTGCTATTTCAAGGACAAAGTTATTTACTATTTCAAGGACATATTAACGAATATTAATAAACTTCTGTTGTTCATAGAACTATTTACAAGCTCTTAATAATGCAAAGTTAAATTTTTGTCGTCCTGTACAATATTGTTTTCTGAAATAATACTAAATATTTGATTGTACACATGTCTGACTTCTGAAATATTTCATACTTTAATTTAGTCAAATTGATCGTAAAAATTGCCACTTTTTTAAAATACTCTGTTTGGTATATAAGTCTTCTGAAATTGATGTTAAAAATACTTTTTTACTGATTGACAGTATCAATGTAGTTCTTATATATCAAGGCTTCTAAAAGTTTGCTGATGCCCCATGTGTACCAATTATGCCCCGTAATAGGCACACGGCATTTAGTATGCATTGAAATAAAAACTTATTTGTAAAACTGTCTTGTTGTGGCCTTAATTTTATTTATATACATTGCCGACTTTTCCATTAAAAAAAAAATATGCTCAGCGTATTTCGAAATATCCCTTTCAACTGGAGATAAAATAATAAAGAGTCTGGCAGATTTGTTTTATATCTCGATGTATTGTACAAGAAAAATGCATAATTATGAATGTCGAATAACTGTTGTCGCAAAAACAGCTGAATTGAAGTCTGAAGAAGAATGAAGAATCATGCTCGGATTATCACAGGACAAAATGAATTGCAGAAATGTTTTTATTATTTGAACAATTTATGCAAAAATATATTTCGCGGGTGGAACAGACTTTTTTATATAACAACCTCTGTTAAGGGGATAGAAATAACGAATTTTTCTGGACCTGTGACAGTTTCACAGTAATATGAAATTTATCACTGTTAACAGTTATCTTTCTTATTCCATGAATAAACTGGAGCTTTTCACACTTTAAAATGTAACAGTAAGTAATTTTTCTGTAATAAACCTCTAATTTCGATCCCTTTCATACTTTAGGATTGAAATGCATAATGCATGTATAAGTTGCAGGACAAACATGTAATAAAGTACTAAAAGAAAACATTTTTAAACATACTATTTTTTTCTATGAATGTTAATCATTACCTTTTTCTCTACTACATCCGTCTCTATAGTGAAAGCTAGACACTGGGCAATTGCATTTTTGCTGACAAAGATTACCATAGTTTGGATATTGGCATTTGTGAGTACAAGATTTTCCAAAATAACCGGGTTGACAACCATCTAAATTATATTTTTTTAGAAGAGTTTACCGTTAGAACTATTCTATATCGTGTCATAATTCTTATTTATTTTTTTCATTTGATGTAATAATAATAAATTAGTTTATTTAAGTCATAAACTTCTGCTTGGAAAGATAATATCTCTATAAAGTAATAAGAAATGCTTAATAGTAAATGGATGCACTACCTTAAAAGTTATATAAAGTTGAAATATAAGTGAAAAAGAAAATATACCTTCGCATTTATTCTGAATGTCATTCCAAGACCCAACACAACATTTTTTACCTTCTCTGCGGAAACAAGAAAAAAACGAACAAACATGCTTTTAAGAGTAATGTAAAAAAATCAGAAAAGTACAACAAGAAAATGTACAAAATAAGTGCAGATTACATAATTATCAAAAATAATATGCTAATCTGTTCATTTAAACATTTTTACATACTACACTGGAGTGCCGCAGATTCTAAAAGTAACATAAACAGTAAGAAAGTGAACATGGACTCCATTTTCCTCATTAAAATAACGGTAGTTTTCATTAGTATTTGATGCATTGCTTTGCATTTTCCAAACCATACTCTAATAAAATTTGGCTCAAAGCCAGTCACATTCTCCAAATATTAAGAGGAAATGCAAAATTGTTATTCTCTGGTTGATTGTAAAGAGATTATCTCTTATACAATTTTACCGGAATTAAGTTTAGGAGAGATTTTTATAACAATACGAAACTAGAATAATACTATAACACATGTACTTGTCCTCAAGCTGCAAATGTGGACATCTTGTTTTCTATTACATTGATGATAAAAAAACGGAATCTCAAAAGTCAAAATGGACGTTCCTCTTGTTATGCACCTAAAATTTAAAATCTTTTTTTTATTCGTTATACTTTTAAGATATTTAGCTGTTATAAAATAAATAAAAGTTTGAGTTTAACATGAGCTCTGCCTTACTACAGCCCCCATCCCCAACCCTGCAAGAAAAGTAGAACCCCCCGACGGATATTTGTAACATTTTATATCTTCAACTTTCCTGTATGTCGACATAATTTTGTTGGTCCCAAAAAAAATATATTGTCTCCGTATGCCACTTCTTTACACATGAGATCTCATGAGCTATTGACCTTGAAGATTTTGACCTATTTGACCCCAGATCCCATTCTACGGTTAATAGTTTATATTTTCAATTTGAATCGTTAGACTCCGTTTTCTGAACATATTAATATATTGTTTATGCATTGAAAAATCAACAAAACCAAATGTCAACAAAACGCATGTGGCTAATGCTCAGGTTAAATAAACCCTTATAAAAAGGCATGGAAAAAATTTCCCCATCAATTCCTATGACGTCATTTTACCCTATTATGGCGTCGATGTTGATGTAGTTCACCACTTTCTACTTGACCAAAAAATATGGTTTACTAACAAAGGTGAAATGATAAATTATGTGTATCTTTTAAGTTAACTTTGTCTAATAGGCCAATAAGGTAAATTGACGTACATGTAGTAGGAATTGATGAGAAAATTTTTGCCATGCCTTTTGACATCTAATATTTTTGATTAAACAGAATTTACTACTCAATGAAAAATAAAAAATTAAGTGCGTGTTCATTTCTCACTAAAATAGTTTGTAGATCAAATATAAAATCTGATCGTGTGACCATCCCGACAATTGACTCCATTCGACTTACCTGAGCAGGCTGAGCAGGTCAAATGAAAATCAGAAGAAAAATCTCATTGTGTGACCGCACCTTTGGTAACTGTATATCTCACTTCAATTTCATTAACCGTGTAGTGTAAGGCAGTGCCACGGAAACAAAGAAAAACAGTTAATTTTACTAGTTTGCCTCGTAAGTCGTTCACCGTGATTTGTAATTATTCTTTTTCCTAGCTAAGATAGTAAACAGTGAAGTGGAGATCGTAAAAATACTTAGATACAACTAGTGAAAGTTGCTTATAAATTCTAGATTAACTGATGTTATCTAGTCAATCTACCCAATACCTAGTAAAACTACTTTTAAGGTAGTGATTATGTGGACAGTAAATTTACTAATCTTCTTAGTGAATTTCACTAGTTTTTTTCTTCAGTGTATGATTGCCATATCAGTCAATTGAGATCTCCAACAGTTGAAGCTTCGTATGAACGCCTATAAGACGCAAATGATCGCAGATTGAGCGCAGTTATAGCGGACTGTCCACAAATTGCTTTAAAATTATTCTCAGAAAAGAGGACATCCAAACAAAACATATCACTGGTAGGAAATATTAGAAATATTCAGAATTAAATTTATAAACACATTTTATTGGACATTTAAAAAAAAAAGAAATAAATTATTCAACACAATAGGGAATACATGAAAATTAATGGAACATGAAATACGTATACGTGTAATATTAATTCTTAATAGTCATTATGAAAGCATCCCTAAAGAATGTCATAAACAGCACTAAAAAAATTTAAAATTGCGCATCCGCTTAAAGGCTTTGAGCTTTGAAGTTTTATATGTTTCCTTATATCTAGATAAATAATTCTTTTATAAATCGTTTTAATTTTTTTAATATCATTACGACAAAGTCACGTTGGCGTTCGTAAAGAAAGCAAGACATTGGTGCTTGGCTCCGACCATTGCACTTTGGAGTCTTACAATACATACATGTATACGAGGGTTGTCCCACAATGTCGTAGACAATGTTTATAACTTTTTCAACACACAACCAATACTAACTAAAGAGCTCGATTCACTTTATGCATAAAACGGCCCTGTAGATATACCAATTTATTGACTTACATTTTATGCTCCATTTTAAACATTAACACTAGAGGTACTGTGAGCAATGAGCTCACTAAATGATACCCCCCGCCTCCCATATGATTATAACTGATGACAAAGTCCATGTTTTGCTGTGCCCGGGAAACCCAAAATATGTGTCGGATCAAAAAGTAAAATAGGAGGTGCACAATGGCAATATGTAATAAAGATTCTGCGAAAGTTTCATCAAATTTCATTCAGTGGTATGAGAGGAGTTGCGGATAAGAGATGGGTACCCCAAAGCGTAACAGACGGACGGACGGACAGACGGACGGAATTCCCGATTACTATATACCCTCCCGCTTTTCAAGCGGGGGGTATAATAAAGTAGAGACTGAGTTCTTTCTTTCCTATCAAAATTTTCCCCTCAAACACCAGGTCTTTGAACACAGGCTTTGTGGAATTGCAATGTTCTTAAAATTTTTAAGTGAACAGGTATGTTTAAGTACGTTTAGAGAGGAAAAATAATATGAGCGCACCCTCTGATCTTAACAATAAAACACGTCTTGTAATCCTCAGGATCCGTTCTATCATTTACTAGTTTTATATTTTAGATCAGAGGGTGCACGCCATATCAAATATCGACATATAGCTTTACAAATTTGCCTCTTATGTATACTTTTTCAGAATATGAGAAAATTGACGCATTTCACGACGTTATATTGCATTGAATAGCCAGAAAATTGCGTCATTTTTATAGATATGAAGTCACCAAAGATCTAAGTACATGTAATATTCAATGCATTGTAAACTAAAACTAAGAAATTTCAGTTTTCCAGGAATTCACAAGGCCAAAAGGGACAAAAAGGAACTTTTGTGTTCTTTTGCATAGGCATAATACATTCAAAGTTCTTAAAAATTGAAAATTATGAAGTCTATATCTTTCAAATTAATGGTATTAGGACGCATTATATGAAGTCTGATATGGTCTGTCGGCTCACGAACAATTTCGGAATTATTTATGCATATAACTTTTACATTTGCTTTTATTTCTTTGAACTTGAAGTTGCATCAGTGTTACCAGAATGAAAATTTTAATGATATATCTAATTTTCATATATAGAACATTGAAATTTTTCTTCAATGACCCAAAATGACCTTGGTTCAAGGTCATGACACACCCTTATGGCATGGGCAGTCTTTGTGTGAAATGAGAACATACCAAGTTTATCCATAGAAAAGATCTGGACTGGACACGAATTATGATTTTTTTTAGTGACCTTGAACACAATCTTAGGTCATGGGCAATATTTGAGTGAAATAAGAACATACCAAGTTAATCCATAAAAAAGATATGGATCGGACACAAATTATGAAATATTTCTTCCAGTGACCTTGAAATTCCACAAATGTCCTTGGCCCACGGTCATGACACACTCTTATTGCATGGGCAGCCTTTGTGTGATTGATTGATTGATCATGATTGATTGTATATTGTTTAACGTCCCTCTTGAGAATTTTTTATTCATATGGAGACGTCACCGTATGCCGGTGAAGGGCTTCAAATTTTGACCTTTACTCGGCACTCAGGGCCATTGAGCAGTGAGGTATCTTTATCGTGCCAACGCCTGCCGCTGACATGGGGCCTCGGTTTTTAAGGTCTCATCCGAAGGACCCGCAACTTTCACTTCAAAGTGCCGAGCGCATGGCGAAGGAACAGTTGCTACCTATTTTAACGAGGAGTAGCATTTTGAAAGAATTTCATAGAAATTTCTATTTTTAGTAACAATAGCAACACCACTTATCGAAATCAAAAACCGATTCACAGAATTATGTATCTTAGTGTAGTCTACTTGTGTGCCAAATTATATTGAAATCAGACCAAAACTGTAGGAGAAGTAGCATTTTAAAAGAATTTCACAGAAATTTCTATTTTTAGTAACCACGGCAACACCGTTCATCGAAATCAAAAACCGATACACAGAATTATGTATGTTTGTGTAGTCTACTTGTGTGCCAAATTATATTGAAATCAGACCAAAACTGTAGGAGAAGTAGCATTTTAAAAGAATTTCACAGAAATTTCTATTTTTAGTAACCACGGTAACACCGTTCATCGAAATCAAAAACCGATATACAGACTTATGTATTTTTGTTTAGTCTACTTGTGTGCCAAGTTATATTGAAATCAGACCAAAACTGTAGGAGGAGTAGCATTTTGAAAGAATTTCACAAAAAATTCTATTTTTAGTAACCACGGTAACACCGTTCATCGAAATCAAAAACCGATACACAGAATTATGTATCTTAGTGTAGTCTACTTGTGTGCCAAGTTATATTGAAATCAAACCAAAACTGTAGTAGGAGTAGCATTTTGAAAGAATTTCACAGAAATTTCTATTTTTAGTAACCACGGCAACATTCATCGAAATCAAAAACCGATACATAGAATTATGTATCTTTGTGTAGTCTACTTGTGTGCCAAGTTATATTGAAATCAGACGAAAACTGTAGGAGGCGTAGCATTTTGAAAGAATTTCATAGAAAATTTCTATTTTTAGTAACAATAGCAACACCACTTACCAAAATCAAAAACCGATACACAGAATTATGTATCTTAGTGTAGTCTACTTGTGTGCCAAGTTATATTGAAATCAGACCAAAACTGTAGGAGAAGTAGCATTTTGAAAGAATTTCACATAAAATTCTATTTTTAGTAACCACGGTAACACCGTTCATCGAATTCAAAAACCGATACACAGAAATATGTATCTTAGTGTAGTCTACTTGTGTGCCAAGTTATATTGAAATCAGACCAAACCGTAGGAGAAGTAGCATTTTGAAAGAATTTCACAGAAATTTCTATTTTTAGTAACCATGGCAACACCGTTCATCGAAATCAAAAACCGATACACAGAATTATGTATTTTTGTGTAGTCTACTTGTGTGCCAAGTTATATTGAAATCAGACCAAAACTGTAGGAGGAGTAGCATTTTGAAAAATTGTTTACAGACAGACAGACGGACGGACAGACGGACGGACGACGGACGCATTACTATCGCATAAGCTGTTCTGGTCTCTGACCAGTAGAGCTAAAAATGGCCGCGTATATTTATAGTTCCGTAAAATCGGTACCTTATCCGGAACTGCCTAAACGACTGTACCTAATTTAAATGCCTCCATCCATGTTTTTATAATAGAGAAACCATACTCTGTCCGAAAGAAAATGTTCCGGAATTTGTATGTGCGGTAGGTGTTGAAAACTGGCTTTTATTTCTTGATACTCAAAGTCAATACGGTAATAATGATTGTACAAAATTTTAATCAGAAATACTATGTTATACACCATGAAAAAAAAAAGTATACCATATCCTCAAGTATATTCTGTAAAATAAGGGCGAAAAAAGGGACCAAGCTACTATAACTTAAGTGGAAAACTCCTTTTTCGGTAAAGTCTGTTATATCAAGAACGTTATGTCTATACAATTAGCAACTGAATAATTCAGAGCATGCTACACAAGGTAACGCAAGAATCTCTGAATATCCTAAAATATCGCAGCCATCGAAAGAAATCCAGGTCTTAAATATAATCCAATAGATTGACTAATTTTTAGAAATAACTAGAACTTAACAATTATTTTTAAAAATTTTAAGCTCTCAAAGGATCACTTCATTATAAATAGGAATCTGACCTATAGGACAGGGCTTGATTTTTTCTCTACAAAAAGCTTGTCGGTTTCCCTTCCGAATAATGACATAAGGCTGAATGCATTAAACAGTTTTTTTCCTAAATCTTTTTTATTTTTTTTCCCCTGTTTTTCTTAAATCTTTATTTCAGTGAGTAGAGGTAGAAGGAACCCTTTTATTGATTTTTCTAAGTTTCTTATATCTTAATGTAATAGCTGATATTTTTCTTTACGTCTCATTGTGCATATTTGTAATGTCTACTGTCTCTAAAATTCTATTCTTTATGGCTAGGCTATTGATCCGTAGATATAATGTACATATATAACATATAAACATGTCATTAATGTGTGCAAATTATATAGGCCTAAATGAGATCTAAAGGAGTACAGTTATTGATATTTGTAGCCAAAATCAATGCGATTAAATGCTAAGGAATATACTAGTATATAATTAAAATTTAACGCAGCCCAATGCTGCCAAGAATACCTGTATCAAATACACGGCCAGGAACACGTTAAGTTCCAAGAGAGTACCGTTGTCAGAAACATTTAAAGTTAAGCACTAAAAATGGCTCGTTGTCATGAAAATACAGGCAAGGTTATGACAAAAACTGTCCGCTGTCATTACCTTAGAAGACAGGTCGTGAGCAGTTTTTCATTTTTAAAGTTAAATAATTTCAACCAATTGCAATGTCTGAAATTGCAATGGGGAACAGGACTGACACCCCCTTTGGTGTTGTATGAATTTCAGCCGTTAAAACAAAGTAATAAAAGGGGAGTTTGCGTTGGCGATATTAAACCCTGGTGAAATCAAAAGTGGATTTCATTCATTTTCCTTCTGAGATTTTATATTTTTTGTAAATAGAAATATTTGATAATATGAAATATTGTTTGTAAATATTATTATCTGTGCTAAATATGCATGAACACGAAACGTGAACTCTACATTCATTTAAAGGTAAGTTACGCTTCACTGATTTTAGCAACACGTTCAATTGTCATTGAATCTCTCACCTCCCGTGGTACACACTTTCCAGCATTAAATTGAAAAATGTTAATGCTCATGCTATTCACGCTTTATTAGGGGTATAAATACCGCGAACATTTAAATGATTATCAGGATAAGTTTTGAAAGCAGAGCTATGCCACGTTTGAATCGACAACAGAGGGACCAAGCCATAGGAAGATTGCATGCTGGGCAAGCTGCCAGGGTGATAGCAAACGACTTCAACTGCAGTATACGCACAATTGAACGTTTACACCAACGTTTCAGTGCAACTAACAGCACAGACGATCGCCCACGTAGCGGTAGACCACAAGTTACAACGCAAAGACAGAACAGGTTCATAGTGCGCCAGCATTATGTTGTAAAAATGGAGTTATCATGAAAAATATACAATGCGTTTATACACTTGCATAAAAAATTACTTTTTCTGAAGTAATTAATATATACGAGGTTTGTCCCGTAAAATCGTGAACAAAACGTTTTTCTCGAAAAGTAATGGGCGCACTGTGCTGAAAATTTCAGTAAATAATTATTTATCATATTTAAGTACATGATAATTTTTTTGATAAAATATAGCTAAAAATAAAGATTTTATTATGCTTGAATGTGCACGGTGTTCTGTCCTACGGCGCACGGTCAAAAAACCAAGGTTTTACTAAAGAATACACAAGTTTGAATTTAAAATAAAAGTTTAAAATACATAAGATTTGGATTAAAATTATCCTAATTCAATTCCACAATCAATTTTGTAGTATTTGTAAAAATTTAAAGGCATTTGGTTATTTTTTGGCAGTTTCTCGAGTATTCGAAATGGGAAAGTGGTAAACACAACACACTAAAAATGGCGACGTTGTATGACGTTACGGCGCACCGGGAGCAGTTTAGTTTTATTTCGATGTTGTAATGACCCCTTTAGAGACTTGAAATGACCATAGAAGAAAAAAGATTATAAAAATATCACCATATCTTAGGTATACAAATGAAATGGGAGTTTTCTTAGCGAAGTCTTTTTTGATCGAGTCCCTGGGGAGTACAAAGCATACGGACAAACTCCTAATGTAATAGCAAAAGACGCTGTCACAATAGACCGCCGATATGAGATTTTCTATTAGTTGAATGATTGTGAGAATATTTTCCGTAACTTACTAATAAATCTTCAGAAGATCGCATGAGGGTGCCAATTGGTTCTTCGACTGTCTATGGCGACTAAAGAATGTGTATCAATGAAATTCCTTAATTTCAAGTCGGACTCATCCAACTTCATTTTCTGCAAAGATAAAACGTGACGCTGTTTTAGACACTTTGACGTTATAATCCACGCGCCGTAAGGTGATACACTACATGGCCTAAAATCTAATAATTTGTTTATTTATGAATATATTCATATGAAATTTGCTGTGTATATTACTAAAATATGTACTTAATAATAGTGAAAAATTCAGAACGCAGTGATGTTTATTTTTCACATTAGACAACTTGTCCACGATTTAACGGGACAACCCTCGTACATATAAGGAAAATACACTATATAGTTGATGGACATGTTGAAAAAAAAATTATAATTTGTAGAACTGCCTGGCATTGTTGTTACATGCCTCCAGGATAAATGAAACAGGTGTGCTGCAGATAGAAGCAATTTGTGCAGCAAGAGATGCTAACTTCCAGGGGTGGTTCATCTTGCATCCAGGAGCTGGCAATAAATATGGAGCATCTGTCTCCAACAACGAGCGCTCAACTGGGATCCTAGACACCAGATTTTGGTCCTGCACTGATCTCATTGTGACTCCAAATTTCACTGCACGCAATTCCATCTCCCATTGGCGTAGCTCCTACACAGAACCTGTGAAGCAATGTCGATGGAAAGTATGGTGTGTCATGTCCATCATCCGGATCATGACCAAGGTGCGTTTGGCTGCCTCACCGGATCCATCATCCCTGCAGTGCAGAATGACGTGCTTATCGACATCTCTTGCCATATTAAGGGCATCTGCTAGAAACTCCTGCTGGGTATGCAAAAAACGCTCCTTTCTTGCCTCTAGCCTCACACAGGGGTTGCATCTGCAATTGGTGGTGAGATCGATGCCAACCTCCCCAACGGCTACACAACGATGATGTGTTACCAAGTCCATGAGTCTGTCAAGGTACTGCCCTGCCAGGTCAGCAACATGTGGGTGGATACCAAAGGAGACTGATATGTTTTCGTCATCCAATACGTGTACCTGCCAAGATTCCCATTGACGGGGAAAGACATAGTTAGCTACGGCATGTAGCACCTGAACCCTTCCACCGAACTGCTGCTCTAGTTCAAACCAGGTCTTGAAGTTGGTCCTGCGCAGGATTTGGTCGAGGTGGAAATGACTGTCAACAATTCTGGCCATGACGGGGTTCCCTGCTATATCAAAGGGTCTATCAATGGTCATACCATTCGCCAAAAGCCGCTGTTGATGCTGCCTGAACATTTCCTGCTGTTCCATACTCAAGCCCTTCAGTAGGGTATGAGATCCAAGAACATTACATTTTAGATGTAAAGGGAAAGCAACAAAGTCACTCGATAATGGTTTATCTAGTTTAACTGATACCTTTGCAATAGTGATAGGCGGTACACATGTTGTCCTCCGTATCCGGTTGTCAGAGCGTTGTTGCCCTTCAGGTGGTTCGGATATCAACTTTATAGGAAATTTCCTGCCCTCGAGAAACAGCACTCCCTTCTTAATGTTGATGATCCTGTGGTTGGCTTCCAGAAAATCTATTCCCAGGATCATGTCATCATTCATTGATACCGCACAGTAGTCCCAAGTTACATGAAGATCACCAATATTGAGAGGAACGTTCTTGAGCAATCTACCATACACTATTTCGGCACCAACCCCTTTAAGCTTTATGAACTCAGATGTACAGCTATCTGGCTGTCTGGCACTATTTTATCATTGACAAGGGTTATCATACCAGCTGTGTCAACAATTACATTAATAGGCTTTTCTCCTATGATGACATTTAGTTTGATGATTTTTCCTAAAGTCCTCCTGATAGTAACAACGTTATCTTCTAGGCCACTTTTATCAGGGGTCAAGTGTGGGCCTACTGGCTTGACCCTTTTCTGTTTCAATCACCCTTCATTGGGCTTTTCACTTCATTTGAAGTATTGTTGTCTCTTTTGTTTGGAGAAGAGAAATGCTGGCCACTGGCTAGTGATCGACTAGGACTTTGAGATCTCTTTAGGAAACGCACTTTCAATAGTGGTGAACTTCTCTGATTTCTGCCAAAGGATTTCTGAATTGTTGTGGTTAATTTCTCAACTAAAGTTGTAAGGTGTAAGATTTGCTTACCCAGAGAATTATTGTTGTCTTCCTTAGAGGGCTTAGTATCAGCCCTACGATCTTAAGATTCACCTGCCGGGGATTCCTCCCTGCTCGAGAATGAAACTTGTCGTTGAGAATAATAGGCTACTCTGGTGCTTCCTCTGGTCCCGTATAAAGCACGATGGTTCGCGATGGCTGTTTTCACATACTTTACAGCTTTCTGGAGTGTTGTTGGTTCTCTATCCATAGCTTTCATAGCAGCTTTTTTATCTTGACAGCCACGTAGGAAGGTTTCTATTGCTATTTCCTCAATCATGTTCCCTTCACAGCTCTCATAACAATCTAATGCTAGGAAGTAGAGTAGCTGAGAAAATTCTTCCACATTCTCATTTTCCAGTTGCCTAGTAAAGGGGAGCTGGCGACGAGCCAGAATAGGTACTTCCTTTCTGCTGAATCTCTGTTTTAACTTCCGTTTCAGCTCTTTATAGTCACCATTCTTGTTCACTTTCCTGGCATATTCAAGAGCCACATCCCCTAAACAATCTAGAAGACGGAAAGCCTTCTTATGGGAGGACCATCCACGATGAGCTGCAACCCTTTCAAATTGGTAAATAAAGGATTCCCAATGTGGTCTCTCAGTGCTTGTAAATACGGGCATCTTTTGAACTTGTGGAATCTTGCTTCTGGATCTGCTCCTTGATGTACGAGTCCATTTTGACATGGTATCATCTGAGGAGGAACTGGACGATGGCGATCTATTTCGTTTACTCCTTTTGGTCTTCCCGCCCCTGCTTTGTTCCTTAGGAGTCAGATACCCCATCACATTGGGTTTATCTTGGGAAGTAATAGGACCCGAAGCAGATGTTGATATGTATTTTTCATTACTCTTCTTTTCACCATTTCCTTTCTTCTTGGATGGGAAGTGAAGATCCTGTTCAAACTTAGAGCTCAGCTGAATTGGTGTTAGATCTTGGAAATCAGCACTCTCTAACTTTCCATTCAGGAGTGTGTTTGTTTTTTCTTTGGCCCATTTGAAAGGATCTGAAATGTATCCTGAAGGGGGAATGACAGATGTCAATTTGTCCATAATTAGCTTCTGTTCCTTTCCTGTTTCTGACGGCTTGGCTGGGGTTTGAACTGTGTCAGCTGTAAGAGTATGCGACTTGTCGATGCTTTTCTCTATAAAAAATTGATTGCTCAGTACATGTGGCGTGTTGTACAATTGGCCCATGGAATCAACATGCAACGTCTGGACAACTTGCGACCGTAAGGAGTTGACTTCATCACGAAGCATTTGAATACTTTTGTTTATCTCCAGTAAGGTGAGATGCAGTTGCGTAGCACTTGTATCCTGTGCTTTCTGTACCGGCTGGTTTGCAGAAGTCTCTGATTTAGCCTTCTGGATGGTGACAACACCTGCCTCACTCCATTCTGTCCATTGAGAAAGTGCAATCTGGGTCACATCAGCCACATCATTAAAGTCGAACTCTTCTTTTGTTTCCCTAAGCTGGAGAATTCTTTAAGCTTTACCTTGTCCGATACCCTCCAATGATTTCAGGTCTATCTCTGAGGCGTTGTACAGATTCATCGGTTTACTAGCAGCCATTATCAGTTATGAATATTTTCTTTTCAAAATATTTACAAAATAGGTAATAGAATGATAGTTTAGAGCAAAAGCAGAGCCAGTGGCCCCGATACCTACACAGTGTATGGGGCTATATTGTCAAAATGCAGGAAATACAATCTCAGTGATAATCACTCTATTTTTTCTAATTGAATTTGAAATAATTAATCAAGAAAATACTCAAGGAATAATATTAATTTGAAAAGCGATGAAAATTTTATGGTACAAAATGCGCGCCGTACACCAAATGCGACGGAATGCAAGTCACGTGACTTTTGTGTTCCTAAAATTTGGTTGGAATTTATCGTAAAATATAACAATTAATCAACTTTACTGTAACAAATTAATGTTTTGACAATAATTTATCCTTAAAAATAGGGTATTATTAAGTAATTACTTGTATTTATTCGTTACAAATCACGTTGTGAAACATCAACATTAGCAAACAAGTGGTTCGAGAGATGCTCGGTGATTTCACAAAAAAATTATGTTGTTGCAAGTTGGTAACGAAAAAAAGCGTAATTTCGCATAATCCAATCCACAGCTACATGAACCGGCAACGCCAATGTCATAATGATCGACGAATTACCTGACAAATCCCTCCAGATTAGGTCAATAAGACAGGCTATGTCTAGCAGACGCCAGGCAAGATGGAGGTCAGGGAGATCAATGTTAGTCGAGATAGGTCGTACACGGAAGAGTCGGGCTGTGGTACCACACAACAATAAAACTTATCAATGCATTTAAAAAACTTGCTAGTTAAATCCCATGTAGCTGGTTATAAACAAAGAACTGATTTTTGTAAAAATGACGTATTTCATGTGCTGTGAAAGACAGATTTTAGGATTTTTTTAACAATGAAAAATGCGTTTTATTATTAAACAGAATATTATCTATCAGGTTTTAAATAGTCGATTAAAACCAATGTATATTCTTTGTTAAGTGCGATTATTCATTAACTATCAAGAGAATCTATTTTATTAATGATGTCGTGTTTTTATGTGCAGGTTACGTATATTTTCAATGAGATGCCTATAAAATCGTACTTTCACAAGGGCAAACACTTAATAGATCTTAACCATTTTTCGAGTATAGATAAAGGATATTTTTCTGAACTTGAAAAGTGCTGCTGCTTTCTTTAAATTGAGGGCGTAATTTTATAAGTACACAAAATATTTCGTAAAAGTCAAATATATTTCAACATTGGCTCATTTACCTGAAAATTTAACTATTAAAACGCAAATTTTATTCAAAGCAGCAGCACTTTTCAGAATCTACAAAGTATGCAGAAACAATTAATAGCTTGAATTTTTAATTTCAACTAGGGTATGCCCTTGCAATATTGAAATTTGTTCATGACCTACATTCAGTACACGAATTATGCATTCATCACGTGACTGTCCATCAATGGGACCAAACTTCATTCAGTACAGAGTGGGTTATACTATGCTATATCCGTAAGTATTAAGTTCTGTGATAATAAAACAGCTTAATTAAAATGAATTTAGTTTTAGAAAGGTCCCCCTTTTTTGCACGTCTATTTTCCGTCGATTTCTCATAGTAGGCCTTAACAGTGCTGCGAATGATTTCATTACCAAAAACCACATGGCAAGCTTTACAGAAGTATCTCGACTATTAAAACAAATATAAGAATGAATTACACATTCTGTTCTCTAACACATTAAACTATTTTATTGAGTTTAAAATATATATTATAACTTAAGTTGTTTTATGTTTTCCGTTTTTGTAAAAATTTCAATCAATACACAGGAACTTTTTATTAAACTGGCCAACCTATAATTGAAACATGTATGAAAATGTTGTGAGCAAGCTTTCGTTGAATCTGGCCGAATCGGCAAAAAACAACAGACAATTAATAAATATTATGCATATTTGATTTTTGTTCTATAAAGTCCATGTTTGTCATTGATTTGGAAGGCAACGATCATAAATACATCTAGATGTAGAAATTGAAATATTAATTTTCTTAGACTTCATTGAAGAAAAAAGAAAAAAAAAAGAATACTGATAATTTTGTGTTTAATTTTTCTGATGAAAATATGATTATTTTTAACAAAAAGAATATAGAAAATAACTGAATTGTCGCTCATGTTTTAAAGGATTACATACACTACATGTTCAAATATGGATAGTAAATCCAATTTCAACCCCTAAATATATTAATAAAAAGCTAATTTTCTAGCGAAATTAGCATTAGGTTTATAACAATGGTAAGTGTTGTTTCAATAGTGATTAAAATTTGTTAGTATTTTGAAACTTATTTTCAACTTCTTTTGAAATAATCATTTACAAGTAGTCAAACTTTAATAGTAAACCAAAACAAGAGGCCCAGGGGCCACAGCGCTCACCTGAGCACATCGGGCTTGAATTTACCCCCCCCCCCCCCGGCATTCATCATTTGAACAAACTAGAATCTACACTACCTGAGGATGATTCCGTATAAATATCACTAATCATAGCTTTGAAGTACTTGAAAAGAAGATTTTAAAAGGTTTCCCTACGTATCCCTTTGTAAAACTTGGGTCGGCCATTTTGGCACCACCCTAGCCCCGGGGGTCATGATTTGAATAAACTTGAATCTACATTACCTGAGGATGATTCCACATGAGTTTCATCTTTCCTGGCCCAGTGGTTCATGAGAAGATTTTTAAAGATTTTTCCTATATATTCCTATGTAAAACTTGGGTCGGCCATTTTGGCCCCACCCTTGCCCCGGGGGTCATGATTTGAACAAACTTGAATCTACACTACCTAAATATGATTCCACATGAGTTTCAGCTTTCCTGGCCAAGTGGTTCATGAGAAGAAGATTTTTAAAGATTTTTCCCAT